AGCTTATCTTCTCATACTCCTATGTCTTTGGTTACAATAAAGTTTTACATTTTAATGTAGCTGAACTTATTAATAGTTAATGGTTTATCCTTCTTTTTGCCTTATGGAATCCTTTTTCATACTTACAACATAAATATATTCTATATTTCTTCTAAAACTTTAAATGTTTGCTTTTATAATTAAGTCTTCAACTGGCAGTTACTTTTAGTTATGGTATGAGATCAAAATCTAATTTTACTTTTTCACATACATAACCAATTCTCTGTTTTCCATACTCCTGCCCTCATACTGACTGTAATGCCCTGCTATCATACGTCTGGAAGCTCCATTGCATTCATTAGTCACTTAATCTACCCCTGTCCTGAGACCCCGTTTGGTATCTGGAGAGGTGGGTACCTACCTCATCTTAGTCCTCTTCAGAATACTTTCGGTTATCCCTGGCACTTTGCTGTTCAACATGAACTTTAAAATCAAGTTAAAAAACTTTTGGTATTTTGATTAAAACAGCACTAAATATATAGACTATAGTTTGGGAAGAATTGACTTATTTATGATACTGAGTTTTCTTCTCCAGAGAAGATTTGCATGTTTTCAGAACACTTGGTAATGCAAATTTAGGCTCCACTCATGTATGAGGGCTGGCTTGCAGTTAGAAATTCACAGAGATTTTTTTTTTTTACATCCTCCTACCCAATGCCACAGTCTACATGAACACAGTGAGTTATTTCTAGATCACCTTTATGCTAAAAGTATAACCCTTTGGAGTCCCACCCTTCTGTAGAGTTTTCTACTATACTCCTCACCTTCGACAGGACACGGAATTAACTCTCCTGTCCTCTGTACTCCTCATACACATCAAAACAAAAATTCAAGGTCGCCAGCATTTGGCCGATGCCTCCATGGTACAACACAGCTTAAATGCCTGTTTATTTTCTTGCATTCCCACTTCCACTTCATTTTTGGCCTTAGGATTTCTTATCAGATCAACTATACACTAAAAATATATATACATTTAAAATTTCATGTAGCATTTCTAGTTTACTTTCTATACCCTAATTTTTATCTTCTTGATTTACTAGTTTTGGACAAAACTGTATTAAAATCTCTCAGCATGACTATAGACTTGTAATTCCTTATCATTCCATCTTTGCTTTGTACACTTATATTTCAAGTTGCATAGAAATTAATGACTACATACCTTCTTGGTGGATTTTTCTCTTTTGAAAATATATGCTATTGGCCCTGGCTGGTGTAGCTCAGTGGATTGAGCGCAGGCTGCGAACCAAAGGGTCACCAGTTCGATTCCCAGTCAGGGCACGTGCCTGGGTTGCAGGCCAAGTCCCTGAGTGGGGGCCACATGAGAGGCAACCACACATTGATGTTTCTCTCCTTCTCTTTCTCCCTTCCTTCCTCTCTAAAAATAAATAAAATATTTTTAAAAATATATATGCTATTGCATTTTATTCTTATTAAAGACTTTGGTCTTCTATCTGTCCAATAATGATAACCTACATCAGTTTTCTTTTTCCATTTTTGGGCAGTCTTAGTTTTGCTATGTCTATAGAGCATATAAATAATTTTGTTTTTCATTCAAATTGCTGTCTCTGTCTTCTAATCAATATAAATCCATTTATACTTACTGTGAACAACACAGTATTTGGAACTATTTTTACTTCTTATTTTCTATTTACTATATCTTTCCTTTCCTTTATTTATTTACTTTTTAAAGCTTTCCTGTCTTTTGAATTGAATAATTTTCAATATTCTTTTCCCCCTCCTCTTCTGTTGGTTTGGAAGCTGTAAACTGTATTCCTATTATTGTAATTACTTTTAGTTTAGTTTTTATAGTATATATTTAATTATATATTGTTCTGAAAGAGTCTGATTTCAGACTCTTCATATTTCTATCTCTTCCTGAACATGACAGAAACCTTACCATGTTATACCTTCCCACTGAACAAAACAACCCTATACATACACCCCGTTTTTTGTTACTCTCTACAACTATATTGTCTCTTCGGTAGCATAAGTCACATGTGGCTGTTGAATCCTTGATATGCAGCCAGTTTGAAGTAAGATGTACTGTACGTATAAAATACATACTGGATTTTGAGGATTTAGCATGAAAAAATTTAGGTAAAGTATTTCAATAAACTTTATACTGATGACATCCTGAAATATTATTTTAGACATACTGGGTTAAAAAAATGCATTATTAAAAATTTATTCCAAATGCTTCTCTTTTTTAATACAACTAGGAAATTTTAAGTTACACATGGAGCCAGAATTATAATTTTATTGGATGGTACTAATCTAGAATTTTAATTTTGTTTTAAATGTACTCCCCCATCCCTGAATTATCTTTTTGCTATTAACAATTAATAACATTTATCCTTTCACCCCATTAAAATTCTCATTCTAAAATAACAGTTCACTTGGATATGATAAGGTATTGCCTTAGTATTTAAGATATTCCATTTTCTTCTGGCATTCACTATTGCTGATGAGAAACCCTCTACTAATTTAATTATCTATCATACCTCTGTAGGTCATCTGGCTTCCAACTTTGGTGACTTTTAAGATTTTTCTCTTTATCTTTGATATTCTAGTTTTATCACGACCTGTCTAGATGTCCATTTTCCTTTGTTTAAGCTACTTGACATTCTTAAGTTTACTCTTGATAGAATGACTCAGGTCCTTCTTCAATGCTAACAATTCTCAGCCTGTGTGTCCCTCTGTGTCTTCAAAACTTAGTTCTTCATCACTCTGCATCTTTTAAATTTTTTTTTGGAATTCTTATACATTTTCTGAAGTTACTCAATTAATCCTCTTTGTTTTTTAACTATTTCATATTTATATAATTTTTCTGTGTTCTGAATGAATATTTTTAGTACTATTTTCTAACTCATTAATTCTGCCATCAGTGGTATAAAGGATGAATTTATCCCATGTACTGAGTTTTCTACATGCCAACTACAAAGATTTCTAGTTGGTTCATTTCTACATTAACCTGTTCATGTTGTATCTCTTTTGTTTTATAATTTTTGAACTCTCTTTAAATGGAAAGCACCCCTTAACTTATTTCCCTGAGCATCCTAAAAAGGCTTTAAAGTTTCTTCCAATCAATGGAATACTATGCAGCCGTTAAAAAGAATAAGATCATCCCATGGATACTAACATGGAATGATTTCTAAATATGCTATGAAGTAAAAAGGCCAAGGTACATAATAGTATGTGTAGAATGCTACCATTTATATAAAATTGTATGTATGTGTGTGTCTACGCTTGTACATGCACAAATCTCAGAAAAGATAGCAAGATATTGGTAATAGTGGTTGCCTCTGGGAAGGGAAACTGGGTGGCTAGGGGACAGAGATGGGAGACAGACTTACTTTTCACTGTTTACCCTTTTGTATCTTTGAATTTTGTACCACGTGCATGTATTACCTAGTCAAAAAGAATAAATAAAATAATTTATTTTTTAAAATAAAGTTTTTGTTGGACTACTCCAAAAAATTAACTTCATCCAGAGAAAATGCCTATTCTGATCACTGATTTTGTTATGACATTAATATTAGATGTCTTCATGAGTTTTGGAATTTTGGTTGTAGGTTCATTTTCAGTAGCAAAGGTTTTTAATTTTTTTTCTCTCTTTCTTCCTATTCAGTGATTTTATAGTTTTTCCCACTTGGGTTTCTGGACCTGTAATCCACAATTAGACCTCATAACGACATTAAGGCCTCCAATTTCATGTGATATTGGAGTTCTCACACACATACATTCAGTCACTGACTTGTTAATGGCTTCATCAATTCCATGTCATGAGTCTATGTCTTGATTAGCTAAAATCTACAGCCCGGGGTAGTTAATAGCTTTTCCCGTTTTTCAGCCTTTCACAAATGGGACAGACATTCTAATCAAACCCCTGGCTTTATGTGGTAGTTCTGGCTTCTGCCTCACATGAAGCATGTCAGCACTTTTGATTCCTGACAGGAGCCAAATGACTGCACGTCAGTGCTAGGCTGAAGCCCAGTGGGCTTCTGGTTTACACCCAGCTGGTATCTTTGTGTCTGTGTTCAACTTGTGGCCCACAAACATGTTTACTGCTGTTTCTCAGCCCAGGTGTATCTTTTATGCTGTTTAATCTTTTGTTCTATGTGTTTGGAGCACAGGGGTTACATTAAAGCTTACTATGTCATCTTGACTAGAAGTAATTTCTACATTTCTTACTTTTTGAAAATTAAAAGTAATCATTATAAGAATATTATCTCTTTGAATAAGATTTAGAAAATAGTATGTGAAATGTGTGACAGTGCTGAGCAAAAAAAAAGAAACTCATAATCCATCTATTCTAACTCATACACTGTTAACATTTTAAAATATTTCCTTCTAATCTGTTATTCTGCATCATGTCATATTTGAACAATTTTTATCATGATTTTAACCTATATTATCCCAAGCATTTGTCTATGTTGACATGTAGTTTTTGTGACCATCATTTTAATGACTGCATATTAATCCACCAAGAGGCTCAACTATTATCTACTTCCCACATCACTGAGAATTTAAAGAGCTTCCAACAATGCTATAAAGAAGTTCTCTGTGCAAATGTGCTTTTCCCCATCAATAGTGTGAGTGTTGGGGCTGGTGGTGAGATAGGCTTAGTAACAGGATGGCCATAATCTACACAGACCATTAGTCTAAAAGCATTACAAGACTATTACAGTACTGGCTGAGGTTCATAATGATGACCCTAATGTATGAAAAGAAAAAGAAAATCATATGAAAGTGAAAATGCATTTTAGAAAGATTCCAATTCAAAAAAGTTAATAGTAAGTTTCGTAACTGAAGGGATAAGGTTCACAAGGGGTAAGATTCACAATTCGCAAATGAGTGTCATCCAGCATTGCTGGACAAGGCGTTACACATGTTCACGAAATTCCAAAACAGAGTACTCCGGGTCACACTAATAAAGTTCCCTTTTTCACCAGAATACTGACCTGATATTATTTACACAGTCTTCATGAGCCTCAGAAAGTGTCTTTATGTGCTTTGATGATATAGGGTCAAAGAGCAGAACTTCAGTCTGTTCACAGGCAACTGTCAGCACTGACCTGGAAGCAAATGACACATTTGTTTAGTTTTCTAGTGTTCTCTGGTTATGGACACTCATTTATTTATAACTGCACAAACTTTAAGTGAATAACTTCTTTTTGCCCATGTTAGTAGCAAATATTTAAAATATTGACACAATCCACTATTGGCTTAGCAGAAAATGGTACTCTCGTATATTATGGTGGAGTGTAACTGGTACAGTTTATGTTTGGAAAGTACCACTATCTATCAAAATTTTAAATGTGCATACCTTATGACTCAGCAATTTTTTTCTGAGCATCCTATTTAGACACAATCATTCATAAATACAATGAATATATGCTTAATTATAAGAAAATATGGAAAGAAACCTTAATGCACACAAAAGAAGGAATGACTGATTACATAAGTCATGGTACACAATACTTTGCAATATGGTACAACTTTTGAAAAGAAAGAGATAGCTTTATATGGATAGGATATTTAGAAGAACACCAAAACATGTTTTTAAATGAGAAAGGTTGAATGCAAAAAAGCATGCATACATGAGACAACTCAGAGGAAAAAAAATCTTACACCACAGGATTATGTATTTCTTTATCAGTATCTACTAGAATGCACTGAAAAAATCTGGTATATATCTTACCAATTAAATATAGTCAAACAATCTTTACATTATGGTGTTTTTAGTATTGTCTGTAGTTTCAACCATTCCTATTAAAATGCTGTATTTTCATAAACCTTTTACAAGCCCCATTTTAATTTCTGAAAATCCATTGTCGTTTATTGATTTTGATTAAGTCTAGTTTTCTTTAGGCACTGCTCTTTCACACTGAGATATAGTAAATGAAATCCTTAGTCTTTGTAGCTGCAGGTCTCCCCAAATTTATAGTTCTAATAACAAGTGGAATTCTGTACACTTAAGCCAAAAGTACATCATAGAGAATTTCAAATAGTCAAACTTTTGTATTAAGAAAAAACTTTTTAGATAAAGTTGGAGAGGGAAAAACTCTGCTAAATAAACCTTTCCAGACTTCCAGTCAAGATGGCAGTGTAGGCAGACACAGCTCACCTCCTCCCACAATCACATCAAAATTAAAACTAAAATACAGAAGAACCATCACTCAGAACAGTCAGAGATTGAGTTGAGTGGAAGTCTGACAACTTCCAATGAACAGAATTTAAAAACCCACATCCATTCAGACTGGTGGGGGGGAGAAGACTCAGAACTAGCTGGCTCCACATTCAGTTGTGGGGGATAAAAATTCAGGGGGGGATAACGTGGGAGCAAAGAATCTCTGCCCTAGAACAGGCGCCCTAGCTCAGGATCCCAGTGCCAGGAAGTCAAGTCCCTGAAACTTCTGGCTGCAAAACCCAGCAGGGACTGAGTTGGTGGAAGAAACTGCTAGAGTCCCAAGAATTCCTCTTAAAGAACCCACACACACATGGACTCACCTACTCAGACTCACTCACTCCCTCTGAGCTCCAGCACCAGGGTGGCAGCTTGAAAGGCACCAGTGGCATTCAGAGAGGAACTGAAATGGCTGGCATGAAGGCAAGCACAGGCCATTGTCCCTTTTCTGAACCCTCCCCCCAGAGTCAGCAAGCTGGTACCATTTCTGAGATTCCATCAGCCTGGCTAACACTGTTTGCCCTTCTCTGGAGATCCCCTGAGACTCCACCCCACCCAACTTGGGCCTACCCAAACTGCTTTTCCATATAAATGGCTGATCTTAGCCCAGGCTTCACAACTTCCTAAACCCTATCAAACGAGCAACAGCTGGCCTCTGTGAGCCCCAGGCCTGGCACTGTCAGCAACCAGTTTAGATTCATAGCTTGGCTCGACTGGGAATCCAACTGGTGGCCCTTTGTTTTGCAGGCTAGCACTCAATCCACTGAACTATACTACCCAGGGCTCTTTTTCTTGAGATGGATACTTAGCTCATTAATTTTCCTTATCTCCTTTCCAGTTTATTAAAGTCTACAATTTCTTATTAAGAACTATTTTATTTACATATATCCCCCAAGTTTTGAGACATGCGGTATTTCCATTATCATTTAGTTCTACATATTTCTAATTTCCATTGTTATTTCTTCTTTGGCCCTTCTTTTGAAATATGTGATCTTTTAAGTGAAAACTTTGTAAATTTTCCTTGTGTTAAAAAAACAAGAGGTAGCTATTATATATAGTCAAGTGTGATATTCAGAAATGTTAAACATTCATTAATAATATAAATTAACATATGAATAAAATTTAAAACAGTCTTAATAAACTAACCTATAAATTATAAAACTGTTTGCCAAATGATATTAGTTGTAACTCAAATTGTTTATCAAATTATTCTAGTAACTTCCAATCATTTTTAATTTTTGGAAATTGTAGCCACAATCTTGTTTGATGCAGATGCCCTTGTCTAAACCATGGACATAGAAAACTGCATAAAGCCCCTCCAGGAATTTCCACGTTAAATAGGTAGTCATGACATAACTTGTAATCTTATTTTGTTTTAAATATTTTATTTATTCACTTTTTTGAGAGGCAAAGGGAGGGAGGAAGGGAGGGAAAGAAACAGCAGTGTGTGGCTGCCTTTCACGTGCCCTCTACTAGGGACCTGGCCCAGAACCCAGGCCTGTGCCCTGATGGGAATAGAAGCGGAAACCCTTTGGTTTGCAGACTGGTGCTCAATCCACTGAGCCACACCAGCTGGGGCTTAATTTGTAGTCTTGATAAGTATTTTTTTAAAAAATCACTAGTAACATCAACAGAATTGTTCATGGGGCTGAATCCTCTTTTTAACTTCAGCTGAAGTTACAGTAAGCATATTAAATTATTTTTTAGTCTTTATAATGCTAACTTTGTGTGCTCAATATGTATTCAATAGTATTAATAACTAAGTTACAAAAGTAACTTACTGATATATCATATTTAACTATATCAAACTTAATCCCTCGTCCCAGATGACAGGCAATGTAATATGGCAGTTATGAGCAGAAGCCAGGGTACAAATCCTTTGAATATGACCTTTCTGGCTCTCAGTTCACTCAACTAAACGTATCTGGTACAGAAACTTATGTGGTGGCCATTTTCATTTGTTATTAATGCCCATGGTAGGCTGATATCAGTGAGTTTTAGCAAAAATATCCCGCTAAAGAATGGTGAAATTCAACAAAAATAAAAAAGTTAGGAATCTGCATCCCAGAAGTCATTTACCCACACACCATTCCCTTAGGCCTTACTCAGCTGCTGCAGATTCTCCCCTGCCGTGGAAGTGCACGGCATGACAAGAGTTCATGTCTGGGTGGTGCCTGCAACAGTGCTGTTACTCTCATTTGACTGCTCTCTTCATTTCTGTCTCTCCCAGAGGCTGTATTTCTCCCAAATGACCAAGTGAAAGTGGGAGAGCTCCTGATAAAAGCATGCAGCCCCACACTTAGAGAAGCCAATGGGCATTTACCTATGAATCTGTTTTTTGTGTGGGGGAGAGTACCTGGCATGGGTGAAGAGCAATTAGAATGGATGCTGATAGCTCTCTAGTGAGATGTTTGCTGGCAGCTTGCTGTGCCAGTTCTGAATTCTTTAGTTACTATGTAAAGGATTATTCTGGGAGGTCCCATGGAAGGTACTGAAGCATTAGGAGGGCACTCAGTGAGTGGGCTTGGGGCAATGACCATTCAACTACTACGGACATATATCAATATTTTAACAAGTGGTATAGCTGAACCACTGGGTACTAGCTCAGTAGCGGGACTAAATGCAGCCTTCTACATATGCCCTTTACAGCAAGGGTTTAAGTAGTGTTGTTTACATCTTGCATTCCTTCTTATGTTTGTGTTTGTCCGATTAATTGAAGTACACTACGATATGTATGAAATCTTCCCCTAGAATAAATCTGTTTTCTCCTTGAAGTAAGCAATTTTAGATGTATTATTTTAAATCTAGAAGAAACATTCAAGTTTAGAACTATTTTATCTTCCAGGTGAATGGAGCTTCTTCCTGAAGTGACCTCACATTTCTAGAAAGCCTATTTTGTATGACACTAATAAAGCCCACCAGATTTCTTGTTTGAAATATCTGGATAATTTTTCTCTGTCCTTTTGAACATTTAGTGCCTACACATTTATTATTAATTAGTAAGTAGTATGGATTTATTTTTAGCCATTCTTTATGCTTTTTATTTATTATACCTTTTCTATTTTTTCTTTCCTTTTCTTATTTCCTTTTAGAATTGTCTTATTCCATATTTTTCTTCTACTAGTCTAGAAATAATTTCTTTGTCTTCTCTTTGGTGGTTGCCTTAAAAATCTTAAAATCCACACTAAACTTATTAAAGCCTAAAGTTAATATAATTCTCCCTCCAAAAAACATAAGGAATTTAGAACATTCCTTCATAACATATATGCTATTGTTGTCTTCTATTTTAGTTCTTTGTTAATCCCAAAAGACAAAATTATTTTTACATACATATTTTCCATTTTCTTTGTTCTTCATTCCTTCTACTATCTCAGACTTTCCATTTGAAAACATTTTATTCTCTGTGAACTTAGAATTCCATTATTAAAGGTGTGGTAGCAAACTCACTCAGCTTTGCTTATGTAAATGGTATTTATTTCATCTTAGTTCTTGACAAGAGCTGAAGAACCCATCCTTGCTGGATACAGACATCTAAATTGGCAGGTTTTTCCCCCTAGCATCCTAAAAATAATCACCGCTGTCTTCTGATTTACACTATTATTTTTGTCTAATTGCCTTTATAGCTACTGTTTTGAAGGTCTTTTTTTCTAGCTTTCAAGATTTTTACATTTGTTGTCCTGCAGTTTCATAGGAGGATTCCTACTGGGGAGGGCTGGGCTTCTTAAATCATGGCTTAGTGCTTTTTTTCAATACTGGAAAGTTCTCAGCTATTACCTCTTCAAATGCACTTTTGACCCCTTATCTTATCTATTCAATATCTCATTTTCTTCAGGAATTAACCAAATATATGGTAAGCTTTTTCTCTATATCTGTCACTAAACCTTCTGTGTATTTTCAATCACGGTGTTTCTTATCTACATTTTGGATAATTTCTTCACTTCTATTTTCCAATACATTAATTCTCTCTTCAGCAGTGCCTAATAATATCTTCTTTAGAGAGGACTTGCTTGAGACAGTCCCACATATTATCTATCTAACCTATTAATATTATCAAATGTCCTTTTTCAGATTGTCATCTTAGGAGGTAATATACTTATTTTGACAATACTGCTACTGCTTAAAACATTTTTGGATTTCTTTAGAAGTTACCTTCTAATCTATGTATCATTTATTTTTTACTGCCAAACTCTAGTCCAGTCTCTATTAAATTTATATCTTTAATCAGTACCTTCAGTGTCACCTGTTTCTCTGTACTGAGAAGTCCTTGTAAGTGACAGTGGTTATGGTACTCAGTAAGGTGATTTAACTCCGATAAGTGAAGGATATAAGAAAGTATCTCATTTAACACAGGTCATTTTCTTCCTAAAAGTTACTTTCAGTCCTATAAAAACTTGGGTTATATTAGTACATGTAGCAAGATACTAAAAAATTAAAACACTGAGCCCTGGCTGGTGTAGCTCAGTGGATTGAGCGCGGGCCTGGGAACCAAGCAACCACGGTTCGATTCCCAGTCAGGGCACATGCCTGGGTTGCAGGCCAGTTCTCTCCCTCTCTTCCTTCCTTTCCCCTCTAAAGATAAATAAATAAAATCTTTAAAAAAAAAATTAAAACACTGAACTATTTTCACCTTTCACCTTGACACGGAAGAAAAAGAACAGCTCTATGCAGTGTTGGCAGGAGTGTGGGAGACAGGCACTTTCCCACGCATCTGACAGAATTGAGAACTGGTACCATCTTCAAAGAGAACAATTTAATAATAGGTATCTAAAGTTTTCATAACCTTTAGTTCATTTCAGGTATTTATCATAAGGACAAAAATCTAAAATATTTGTTTATATAGGTTTTACTTAAACTAATGCAAATTTTTTAAATATAGAAATAGATGTATTAACATAGGTAACTTACAATATATTGTATTAAAAAAGCAGGCTACAAAACAGCATGATTCCAATCAGTAATATACTCCTCATTCTAGTATCACTGGGCAATGGAATTCCTTCATCATAACTCATTCTACCCCTCTCACTCTCTACCTATACTCTCACCCCCAAAGAACCCAAACTGCTACTTCTGAAGGCTGACAGAATAGGCAGGAGGCAGGGAAGAGAGGAGCTGAATGTTTATGAGGAACAGACTCCCAGTATTTTGGGAGGAGTCTTAAGAATAGGGCTTGGTTAAAAGAGAGGAGAGAGGAAATTCTGTGAATACACTTCAGCAAAATAGTTTCTCTCACTAATTTTCCCTATATTCAATTGACGCACATTCACTGCCGTAAGTTCCACCCAACTGCGATAAGGAAATCCCAGCACCGAGTGTAATTAAGATGCATTGCATCAGTGAAATGGAATAGGTTGCCCCCGTTCACTGTGATTCCAGATTCTGTTGCTTTGCACCTCCCTCATAATATTTTAGGCACATGTTTCTGCTTGTTTTGCTAATCTATCTCCTCTGATGTGATATGCTGCCCCTCCTCGCCAGTCCTTTGAAATGCCAGTTCCTCCATCTGAATTACTTCTATCCCCTAACTCATCTTCTACTCATTTCTCTGATCTTTGTTAAGTATCCCTTCCTCAGGAAAACCTCAAACACCCAATTCTCAATTCATAAATACATGTTACGAATTATTTGGTATGGTTATCAACACTGGGTTGAACCAATTGGTCTCAAGCTCAATGAAAGCGGTGCCATTAGCTGGTTCTGCATCTGGAACACACCAGTGGTCAATAACTATTTGCTGAATGGAGGAATAAATTAATAACTAAGCAAATGACTAGAAATTAAGAGGCCCTGATAGGAGTTATATTAATTATGTTGTCTCCTGGTGGAACTTTATATTAATTAAGAGTTATATTAATTATGTTGTCTCCTGGTGGAACTTTTTTCCCACTGATTGCTGTGAAGCTTGTTTGTATACTCAAAAAACAAAGTTTTAAAAAGATAATATTTTGAAAATCGGTCCAAACTAAATCAAGGACAAACATGAAATATTTAATCAGCCAGAAAAAGGCTGGACCCCCTTAACAGAAGCAAGTAGTCTAGCCTGGGAACTTCACAAATGCCTTACTTCGTAAGACACCTCTGGCTGTGTCTTCGCATCTCACTGGAGTAAATGAATGCACACTTGTCCCCTCCCGGAAAGTCAGGCACAGGGTACAGGGCACCTGCAGGCTTCCTACCCTCGACACAAACTTAGATGAGAAAAACCTCAAGCCTAGGGGGACAAGGAAAGAGTGGGCCTTTACTCAGTGTATTTACTGAACATTTACTGTGTGCCAGAAGATCCCAGTTCTGGACTGGCTCTGACAGTCCTGCCGGTGGGCTTTAGGCAGTTCTCCTAGACCAGGCTTGGGCGTCCTGGAGGCGAGCAGACGAGGGGCCGGGCAGCCCACCTCAGGGGGTCGGATGGGACCTTCGACAGCAACAGAGCACTCCAGAAAGTGCCTGGGGATGAAGGCCAGCGGCCCCGAACGGACCCGCACAGCCCGGCCGGGCTGAGCGAACGAACCCTGGGCAGCCGCGCTAGGCGGAGGCGGGTACCCGCCCTCCCAGGGACCGCGCTTACCCGTCGGGTGAGTACTCGAGGTTGAAGACGGCACCGTGGGTGCGAGTGCTGAGGTACACCGAGTCCGCGGGGTGGATGGAGCCATAGAGGTTAGTCATGGTGCGGAAATTGTCCCGCGCCGGGTCCACGAACATCCCGCGGCCCAGGCTGCGCTCTCTCAGCCACCCAAAGAGCCGGGCGCCCGGGCCGCCCGGGCTGGTGCCGAGGACGTGCCGACCCCGGCTCCCGGCCCCGCAGTCTGGCCCGGGTCTTCGGCGCGGTGGCGAAGACCGTGATGGCTCTCCTAGGGCGGAAGCGGCAGGCTCCAGGGCTCCAGACTGCCCCAGCTCCCCAGCGCGTGCAGCTGGGGACAGCGAGGGGCCGCCGAGGCTGCGAGAGCTCCCGCCCGGAGACGGGGGAGGGGCTGCGACAGCCCCGGGAGGTGGCGGCACGGGCAAGGAAGGGAGAGGCCCAGGGGCTGCCCCGGGTCCCTCGTGGGGTGCCGGCTCCTCAGCCCCGGCTCCGGCCGCCCGGTCCCCTAACGGGCTACCTGGCCCGAAGGGAAACATGACCAACGACCCGCCCCCAGCTTCTGGTTGCTACCCCGCTGGCCTACAGCTCAGCGATCCCGCTCCCGCCGCCACTTCCGGCGCGCGGCGGCCTAACCACGCCGGCTGGGAAACTTGCACCGCCCCTCGGCTCTCATCCGCTGGGGACCGCGGAAGCGGGAACACCGAAGGACCGTGGTCTACGTGCTACCGAGGAAGCCCAGCGCTGGGGCTGTATGGGATAATTAGCATCAGGGCACCGCGTGGGACAGTCTGTAGTTGTCAGTGACTGTGTGTGCCTCCGGGTGCGCGGGCCTGCCTAGTCAAAGAGACTGGATGTGATTATGTACTGTTGTTCCTGTCAACACTGAGATCAGCGAGGGGAAAGATTTGGCATAGTAGGTGCAGGTCGCATGTAGTGAGTGGCTTATATACTGTGAGTATACTGCCTGCTCAACCTGGGAGTCTAAGGCCTCAGGTAACTTCGGCACTAAAAGCCCTGGCCCATACAGGAAAACGAGGCATATCGGTGCCCTGAATATCAGCCCAATTTCCAGCTACTGGTCAAGACTTATCAAGGCCAAAGCCTTCCTCTCTGAAGGAAGGAGCATGTATACCCAGCCAGGAGTAACAGGGGAGCTAGAGACCTGGATCAAATCTACCTTTCACTCAACAGAACCCAAGGTCAACCCTGCTTACATTTACCAGGCAGGGCACAGAGGGCAGGAGAGATGCAAAGCCCTTCACCGCCGCTGTTGGAGATAAATACATAGAACTCTGCAGACAAGGGTTAACAGAAACTGGGTGTTTCTGAAGAAGGGAAGGAGAGTCTTCAGTAAAAGAAAGCTTGAGGTAGAAGGTGGCGTTCATGCACGGACTGACAGCTCTTCTAGGCCTTGATCAAGAGCTGTGTTGCAGAAAGCTTACATTTGATGACCAAAGGAACATCTGGAGGGTCTTTGTAGAAAGATCTCTCCTGTGAGGACAGATCTGAAGGATGGCTGTAGGACAGGAATGAAGTTCAGAAAGGCCTGAACATTCAGCAAGTGCTCCCGCCATCAAGTTGCTATTCAGCTCTCCTGTCCATGAGCCGATTGGAAAAAAAGGGCTTAAAAAGCAAGCGTTCTGACTTCAGAGACGATCACAGGAGCCACTCCTCTGGAGATACTCCCCATGTTCCCCCCACAGCACAAAAGGGGTAGAGGTCTGTCTTATGATTAATAATGGCCCTTCAGACCCACAACTTCTGACTGCAAGAAATACTTAATAGACATCCTCCGCTTGACCTCCAAGTTATGGCCAATGGCCAAAATTTTATGGTCTACCAAACTTTGACCCTGACACAATCACCAATGTTAACTTTTTTAATGGATAAAATAAAACTCAATTTTAAAGGTTATATATTCCAAGGTATTTATTTAAGTTACACTTCCAACAGAAAAACCCCAGCTCTGTGAGAGTTTGTGCTGGGTGAGGACAACCAGACTTCTCAGTTCAGGCAAATCAAAATTAACACAGTATAGCTGCCAGCCTGAATAAGCACTTTTCACTGACAGTTTAGAGACTCTAGAGAAGCCAAATGGAAACAAAGATATTTTGTAGGTTTACATGTACTTCTAGCGGTTTGATATTGACTAGTCTTGAAAAGTTAAGATGGCCACAAACTTAAGGCAGTAGTGGTTGTAATGCACAGAACAGGTCGTTCAGCAATGCCAGGGTTTTTTCCTTACACTTCTACTTCAAATGTGAGTGCTTACTTATTCCAAATAATTTTTACTAATACCTAGAGTAAGTTACATATGGACTAAACAAGTTACCATGATTTTACAGCCCACCAGTAAAAAACAATAAAAACACTGGAGGGTAACTGAGAAAGCACTAAAGGTAGAACAACTTTAATCGTGCCTGTTGCTATTTACCCACTGTTTCTGAGGGTCTTTAAATACAACCAGTTTTTAAAAATACTTTATTTATTTATTTTTAGGGAGAGAGGGAGGGAGGGAGAAAGAGAGGAAGGGAAACACTGGTGATCAATTGCCTCTCACATGCCCCCCAACTGGGGACCTGGCCCGCAATCCAGGCATGTGCCCTGACTGGGAATTGAACCAGTGACCTTCTTATTTGCAGGTCGGTACTCAGTCCACAGAGCCACACCAACAAAGGATAGATACAATCATTTTAACAAGGAATTGATTCTAATTCACAATCTATAAAGGTCAATTTTGATGGACTTATGGCCAAGATGAAGGTGTAGGTAGACACACTGTGCCTCCTCGCACAGCCAAAATAAGGACAACAAAAATTTAGAAACAAAAAAACAACCAATATTGACAGAAAATGGAACTGTATGGAAGTCCAACAACCAAGGAATTAAAATAGACATATTGATCCAGACCGGTAGGAGGGGCGGAGTCAGGCAGCTGGGCAGAGAGGGGTTCTGGCAAAGCGGTGGCTGGTGACCCCAGGCATGGAGTGGGTGGCAGCGGGCAGACCCAGCGAGACAGCAGATTGTGGAGGGTTCCAGCACACAAGGCAGCTGGCAGACCAGGAGGTCCCACATTTGTGCACAGATAAAGCAGGCAAAACTGGGGAGCGAGACAGACTGCACAACCCAAGGCCCCAGCGTGGGGAAATAAAGCCTCAAAGTATTGATTAAAAACAGGTTTGGGGGTTGAGGTGCCCTGAGAGACTCCCAGCCTCACAGGAGAGTTCATTAAAGAGACCCACAGAGTCCTAGAATGTACACAAGCCCACCCACCCAGAAATCAGCAGCAGAAAGGCTCAGTTTGCTTGGGGGGAGTGGCAGAAGGGATTGAAATCCAACACAGAGCAGAGCAAGCTCCATTGTTTCTTCTCAGACCCCTCCCCCACATGCAGCATCACAACCCAGCAACTGGGTTGCCCTGCTCTGGTGAACACCTAAGGCTCCACCCCTCACTATGTAACAGGTGTGTCAAGACAAAAAAAAAATGGCCCAAACAAAAGAACAGATCAAAGCTCCAGAACAAATACAACTAAGTGACAAAGAGACAGCCAACCTATCAGATGCACAGTTCAAAACACTGGTGATCAGGAGATTCACAGAATTGGTTGAATTTGGTAGAAAATTAGATGAAAAAATGAAGGCTACACTAAGTGAAATGAGAGAAAATGTACAGGGAACCAATAGTGATGGGAAGGAAGCTGGGACTCAAATCAATGGAGTGGACCAGAAGAAAGAAAGAAAGAACCAAACAGAAAAGAATGAAGAAACAAGAATTCAAAAAAATGAGAGGCTTAGGAACCTCCAGGACATCTTTAAATATTCCAACATCTGTATTATAGGGGTACCAGAAGGAGAAGAGGAAGAGCAACAAGTGGAAAACTTATGTGAACAAATAATAAAGGAGAACTTCCCAATCTAGCAAAGAAAATAGACTTCCAAGAAGTCCAGGAAGCTCAGAGAGTCCCAAAGAAGTTGGACCCAAGAACGAACACACCAAGGCACATCATCATTACATTAGCCAAGATTAAAATGAAGGAGAGAATCCTAGAAGCAGCAAGAGATAAGGGGACAGTCACCTACAAAGGAGTTCCCATCAGACTGTCAGCTGATTTCTCAAAAGAGACCTTACAGGCAAGAAGGGGCTGGAAAGAAGTATTCCAAGTCATGAAAACCAAAGACCTACAACCAAGATTGCTCTATCCAGCAAAGCTTTCATTTAGAATGGAAGGACAGATAAAGTGCTTCTCAGATAAGATCAAATTCAAGAAGTTCATCATCAACAAGCCCTTATTATATGAAATGTTAAAGGGACTTATCTAAGAAAAAGAAGATTAAAATATGAACAGTGAAAGGACAGCAAACTCACAGTTATTAACAGCCACACCTAAAACAAAAACAAAAGCAAACTAAGCAAATAACTAGAACAGGAACAGAGCCACAGATATGGAGATCACATGGAGGGTTAGCAACAGGGGAGTGGAAGGAGGAGAATGGGGGGAAAAGTTCCAGAGAATAAGTAGCATAGAAGGTAGGTAGAAAATAGACAGGGGGAGGGCAAGAAGAGTATGGGAAGTGTAGAAGCTATAGACCTTATGACACATGGACATGAACTAAAGGGGGAGAATGGGGGTGGGAGAGGCTGTGTGGGGTGGAGGGGAGTGAAGGGGGGGAAATGGGACAACCATAATGTTAGGGTGGGTGGGGCATGATAAAACCTCAGCAGGACTACAATCAAAATGGCACCCAGGAAAGATGGCTGACATCCAATCAGAGAGCCAGAAGGGTGGGCTTTGCCAAAACGGATGTCCGCATAGCAGCCTGAACCACCAATGATATTGTCACTTTGTTCAGTGGGGACCAATCCCCAGTTCCCACGAAGAGAGCCAACCAGAATAAAATCTGGCCACGTTCCCTGCTTGGGTGTGACTTCTCCGGCCCCACTCTGTGGACTGGACTGGGGAACCTTGCCCAGGTGTGCAAACCCCAATAAAGCTCTATACTGCCTGATTTTGTGGCTGATTGGCATTTCCTTCCTCGGCGGAGCCTGAGAAAACCTTTCACATAATAGTATAATCAATAAAATATATCTTAAAAAAATAAATAAAAACTTATTTTAAATAGAAAAAAAGATAAATTTCTATGTAACACTATTTTTGAAAACAAAAGAATTTCAACCTAAGTTCCTGAAGGTCACAGATTCCGGGTCATCAGAAATGCTTAAAGCATCCACTGAATTCCTTGGCTCCTGATGCTCTTTTTAGATCACAACAGGAATAAACAATTGGCAAAGGTTTACTCTAGCCTCAGGTATCACATGTCCCTAGCTACTCCCAAACTTAGGATATATCCCATCAGGCAAGCAGGGAGTAATTTACTAATTCTTTCCTATCCAATGACTAGGTGTTTTTAAAAAACTATTTCCCAACTGATGTCTTCTAATGCAACATGTCTGAAATGTAAACAGTGGCTTTTCTGTTCAGGCTTTTATATTTTCAGGGCAGCAGATTCACTCCTGATGTCTTTGACATCATTGGTTTTGCCCATCCAATAGAATTATTTGTTAGGAACAAGGTTAACAAAATGATCAAGGGCAGTTGGACATGGCCTTAAAAAACTGAAATGGCAGGTATATCCCAGGCATCTTCTTGGTTGAAGCCATGCACCTCAAGCTCTTTGAAATGGTCATATGTCATCAGCTTGGGAATAGCAAGTGCCATCTCCAGTACTGCCTCTTTCCAAGCAGGGAGGCAGTGCCCGTGACACTGGTCCTGGATGAACAAAGGTCTGGTGATTAGGCAGAAAGCTGTCAGCAGGGCTAACGGGATGATATACTGTTCCCCCTGGGAACAGTTCACAAGGCCTCCACTCCAGTGGGGTCGGAGGGAAGTTTGGGGGTAGGGGGCTGATGACTCTCAACCTCCAGAATAAATACAGAGACCAGATGCTCTGTTCCATGGCCTAGAGGATCAGGAGTTTCACTGTAGGGATGGATCAGTAGGTCATTGTAAGCTCAGTGACAGCCCCATGCTCACTGAGTCATTACCCTCAGTCCATCTCTCTGGGAAGAATTAGTGTGACCTCTGACACCCAAGGGACCTGACTTTGGATGAGGCAAGCAGGAGGCAAGTATTGGTTAGGGGATTGAGACCCATTTTACAACCAGTCTTAGTGCAAAAGAGTAGGTGGAGGCAGCTCCAAAATGGGAGGCAGACGGGCCCAGGCTTGGGGCCAGTAGCAAGAAATAGAAGAAAACCTGCATGACTGCTTTGAGCCCGTTAGGAATCATAAGCAGATACCCTAATCTCATACTGAAAATGCACACAGTATAATGTAGCAGAAAGTGTGCAAGTTTTGAAAATGGACCCCACTACATTGTATATTTTAGTAGTATAATCCATGTTAATTAAGTTACAGTTCTGAACCGCAAGGGTAAAATGGTGATGATATGGCTCAGTTTACAGCGGGAACTGTGTGCCTCTGAGAGAATATATGCCGGGGATCTGGCACCAGATCTGGCACAAAGCTGGGGCTCACACAGAAGCAGGTGCACACAGTGATGGGGACTGGAAGGTAACTCAAGTGCTGGGATGAGCTGGAGGCATGTGCTCCCTGCACCTTACAGTGGCGTGGGCTTTTTTCTTTCCTCAAATCTGAAGAGTCCCTGAAACTCGCACAGGGGAGGAGGGTTCTAATCTGGTGAGAGAGCACTTGGTTCTTTTGCTGCACCCTGTACTGGCGCTGTGGGCCACCACACTGTACGAACCCCTGTTGGCCAGGCTGCTCACCACGATTAGTTGCTTGCCAGCCTTGCTGAGCTGGCCTGGGGAGGAGGAGGAGAGGAGACTCGCCCACAAGCCTTGGATAGCAGCTCAGAAGAATTTAGACGGGCTCAGCCATATTTTAGCAACAAAGTTGTGCACCCACCTATTCACCTACCAGTTCACTTACACATTCATTGCCAGGCCATCGCTGCCAAACACCCTATTTTATATTCTTCATGATACTTAACATTTTTTACAGTCAACATGTTCTTTTGTTTAGTTGTTTATTTTTTTCTCCTCTCTAGAGTATGTTTGAAAGTCTGGGCATTTTTCTGCACTGGCTGGTGTGGCTCAGTGGATTGAGCACCAGCCTGAGAACCAAAGAGTCACCAGTTTGATTCTCAGTCAGGAAACACACCTGGGTTGCAGGCCAGGTACCCAGAGAGGGGTACATGTGAGAGGCAACCACACATTGATGCTTTTCTTCCTCTCTTTCTCCCTCCCTCCCCCTCTCCATAAAAATAAATAAATCTTAAAAAAAAAGAAAGCCTAGGCATTTTTATGACATGCTCACCACTGTATCTCCAGAGGAATGCCTGACAAATTGTGGTTGCTTAGAAAATGTGTCGAGTGAATTAATAAATTCCAGAAATATTTTCTGAGGCCCATCAGATACTGGACAACCACTTTTTTCAAAAAATATTTATTTATTTATTTATTTTTTGAGAGAGGGGAAGGGAAGGAGAAAGAGTGGGAGAGAAATATCAATGCATGGTTGCCTCTCATTTGTCCCCTGCTGGGAACTGGCCTGCAACCCAGGCATGTGCCCTGACTGGGAACCGAACCACGATACTCTGGTTTCCAGACCCGCACTCAGTCCACTGAGCTACACCAGCCAGGGCGACAACCACTTTTTAAAGAGGAGGAGAAAGAAGGAATGTCCTAATCTCAGGGGACCTGCTATTTGGGGGTAGACAGAGGTACAGAAGGGGGAACTCCACTTTGGCCCCTGGCACCATTTTGGGAGTTTTACACATATAACCTCATTTAATCCTTACGCCAGCTCTGCAGAGTGAGCGTTAATATCATCTTCCTAGTAATTCCAAGGCTTTGAGACATTTAGGTACTTTGTTGAAGTTCACAAGCATTTTTTATGACAAAACTCAGATTTGAACATGGGATCCGTCTCTTCCCTCTAGGATGGAAAAGCGGTGGAAACTGTGAGAAGACAAGGCGGACAGCGCTCTGTGTGCCACAGATGAAGGAGCCTGTGGGAATTCGGGAGGAAGACTCAGCAGGAGTGAAGGCAGGTGAGGTGGACTGTGAAGGAAAGTTCAGCTTCCCAAAGCACGGAGAGGACAAGAAGCCTCCCAGGGCACAGTAGAGTGTGAGCAAAGCTAAAGAGGAGAGACGTCATGAAGCCTGACTGTTGTGAAGGGTAAAGTAGCCTGCTCTGACTCCAACAGACTGAATGTCGGAAGGGGCTGAGGGAAATGAGACTGGGAGGGGAATGGTGTCAGGCCACTGGGCGTCATTGTGACAGACTGTCTCCCAGCACCTGCTCACCCCTCTTCCTTTAATAAAATCCCTTATTTTAAGCCGGGTCCATGGCCACACAGCATCCCTTGCAGCTAGGTGTAACAAAGGGACAAAGTTCTAGTCAATGCGATATAAATGGAAGTGATGTGTGTGACTTCCATGTCATGACCTTAATGGGAGGGATGTTTGTCCACAAGTGCCCCTTCTTTCTCTTTCATAAGGGATATTGGTCTGTCATTTTCTTTTCCTGTGGTAGCTTTGGTTTGATACAGGGCCTCATAGAATGAGTTGGCATGTGTTCCCTCTTCTTTTTGAAAGAGTTTATGAAGAGTGGGCCTTAATTCTTTACATGTTTGGTAGAATTTACCTATGAAGACCTGTGGGCCTAGGAAGACTCTATTTTATTGCTGTCAGTGATAAGTTTGTTGATATTACGACCTCGCCAGACCTTGGGCTAGTTATCAATGTATTGCTACTCAGTTCTCAACTCACCTTTCACTGCCTGCTCTGAGAAAATGGATCTGGGCCTTTAACACAGTTTTCCTTTGCTGTGTATCGTGCAGACAAGGTTTACAGGTAGAAGGTTCTGCAGAGGTCCTGCAGGAGGAATGGGTTTGCCTCCTGGCTCCAGTGTGGTCTCTGGTAAACCCCTGCTTTGGGGCAGCTCAGCCATGTTTTCCCTAGCACCCTATCCAGCAGTTTTGTAACATACTTCCAGGAGACACCTACCCAGGTTTCCTTAGCACCCTCGAAGTGCCAGCAAGTTCTGGAGGGTCAATTTCTAGCAAGTTCTACTGGCACAGATTCCCGTCACTTCTTGCCATTTAATGAACTATGGCCATGCCCTCCCTAACAAGGCATCAGTCAGTTCTTCCAAGGGGGAGGGACTCTCCTTGGGTGCTCTCTCTCTGTACTGGGGTAATGCCTGGTCCTTATATTTGCTCTTCTTATAATCTTTAAAGCTCTCTTTAGTTCTTCCTAGCCAGAACTCTTTGTGATTAAAAACACCTGTAGCAAGTAGTCGCTTGTTTGGGCAGTGATAATTCTGAGCATTTATGTTTCAATCCTTTACTCTAATAAAGATATTAACATGCCTTCCATGGACTCTTGCTATTAATTTACATATATAAATCAACATGTAGTTAATTTGTAATTTTTAGAAACCGGTGAACTAAAAAATGTTAAAGGTTCAGTCAAATGGTATCTAGCTTGGCCCCTACCTTCCTCCCGCCCAAAAGGAGATAATCGTTTTATAGTTTGTAATTTCAGGGCTGACACTCTGATCAGGCCATTATAGCAACCATAACACTTGGTAGTCTCATGTAACTGACCAAGATCAGTTCTTACAACTGGACTAAAAAACAACAAAATTTACATTTCAGTTGGCCCCTTATTCAGTAGGCTCCCCAGTATGTTGCCATATTTGGACGGGGTGTTAGAGATGGCCTGTCTTAAACATCCTAAAAATAAAAAATTCACATTGGAAGCAGATGCCTCAAAAATAAGAGCAGGGCCAAGCCCTCCCAGCCCCAGCAGCTTTCACCCTCACTGGGGAATCTGACCAAAGAGCTACTTGGAAGTACCAGTTAACAAGAGGAACTGATTTCAAGTAAGGGCCCTAAAAGTCTGAAGAACAAACCTGAAGTGCTATGGATTTGGAATTCTCACAGCAGCAACTAAAGTGTGCCCCAGAAAAAGTAGCAGCGAGGATTTAACTGCAGTTAAATTTTCCCAGGCAGGGAATTTTTAACTGCAGGTACTGATTTTTCCCAGGCCATGTGGGGATAGCTCAATTATGTAGAAATGTGCATGTGATATGTGTATATTTGCAAGGGAAAAGGCTAGAGAGAAATACACACTAAAATGTTAGCATCCTTTTATCAGGTTATTACCTATTTCGTGTCAGACCCTGGGTGACAAATAATGAGAACTAGCTGAGGAGACAGCTAGCAAGAGAGACAAACGGGGCATGGCAAATGGGTTTTATTTTTTTCATTCTTGTGTTTTCCACAATGCGAATAGATATCTTCTCTAGCAACAAACAACCAAAAGGTTTTATTTTGGAAAGGAAAATACTTTTCCGTCTGAGGGCGGAGTAGGAAAGAAGCGCCAACTCCCGGAGCCCCTCAGCTCGGTTCCCATTGTTGCCACGGAACCATTCTGGTTAGCGTCGTGCATCCGACGGTGGGACCCCCGACACCGGAAGTAGAGGCTCCGCCATTGACCCTAGCTGAGTGCTTCTCGTACCAACACGCGGACCGACTGCGGGATGAACAGCCGGCTGGAGACAAAATCACAGCCACTTTTGGATGACCCGCCTGCCCATAGGGATCTGGTTTCAAGGACATAGGCTCAAGTCCTTGACAGCTCAAGTCCAACTGACAGATACCGCAGAAAACGGAAAGACTTGGGCGGGCGGGCTGGCGATTGGCTGCGGTGCCAGAAGCGGAAGCCGGAAACTGGTTCGGTGGCCCCCGGGATGACTGAAGCGGCGGCTGTGACGGCCGAGTCCCTTGCGGGTAGCAGGGCGCGGGCGGCGCGCACCGTGCTGGGTCAGGTGGTGCTGCCGGGTGAGGAGCTGCTGCTGCCGGAGCAGGACGATGCCGAAGGCCCGGGAAGTGCGGGGGAGCGACCGCTGCGCCTAAATGCCGGCGTACGCTCCCGGGTGCGCGTTGTGTGTGGTCCGGGCTTGCGGCGCTGTGGCGACCGCCTGCTGGTCACCAAGTGCGGCCGCCTCCGTCACAAGGAGCCCAGCGGCGGCGGCGGCGGCGTTTACTGGGTGGACTCGCAGCAGAAACGGGTGAGATGGGGACTCCGGGGGAGTGGTAGGTAGGGCAGCGAGAGTGGTATTGTGTCCCAGCTCTAGGTAGACTTCTTGGAAGAGGCAAGGAGGGGGCCCTGGAGCCCTCTCTTAAGGCTAGCCTAGAGCCACTATGCTGTGCCCGCTACTGTGTCTCCTTTCGAGGAACTCTGACACACTGGAGCGTGGCCCGAGAAGGGCGCCCAGGAGATCAAGGAGTGTAGAACGTGACCATTGTTTTCAAAATCCCGACGATCAGGAATAACCAGGCTTTAGAGGCTCGATGAGTGGATGTCACAGGGAGCTCAAATTCTCTTAAGAGTAAGAACTTTCATATAGGGAAAATTGCCTAACAGTGAAATGGCCTTCCTTATTTGCGAGGACCGCCTGTGCCACTGGACTTGCAGAGGCTAGGGGCATGATGAGGATGCTGAAGAGGCATGGGATACCGGCTCAAGTGAACAGACTAGTAGAAGCCCTAAATCTGAGAGTTTTATGATGTGGTGGTTTTTCTTTTACTGAAAGTGGAGTATGACCAAATTTGTTGTAAAATTTGTATTAAATTGTAAGCTTGGACTTTAAATATTTACTAAGTATTTCTAATGACAAATGTAATAAAGTAACTACTAAGGACTTGCTGAAGATATCTTCCCAGATATATTAGAAATGACTGTCATTTATGGTTGTTCTCTCATTCTGATTTCTTTTGTAGTACGTCCCAGTGAAAGGAGACCATGTGATTGGCATAGTGACAGCTAAATCTGGAGATATTTTCAAAGTGGATGTTGGAGGGAGTGAGCCAGCTTCTTTGTCTTACTTGGCATTTGAAGGTGCAACTAAAAGAAACAGACCAAATGTGCAGGTAATGATGGGAAACGTTGGTTTCAAAAGAAGAAAAGCATCCAGAATTCCTAAGGCAACCTGGATTGACTCCAAAGCATGGCCTATTTTCTCAGTTCTATGGGGTGATCTCTGAGCATTTGTGCGTGTGATCACTCCAGGCTGCAACAGTTCCTTTTGTTGCTTCGGTTCTGGGACCAGAGTCACGTACTTACGTTACACTTGCTATGTTGGGGGTTGTTCCATCTCTACAGAGTTGAGAGGTTATATCTGTTCTCCCCACCGTTATCTGTCATGTCCATATTCACTGGACAAGGAACGAAGCCTTCGGCTTAGGGAAGACGGAGGGACCAGTGGTGCCAATTGCCCTGTCAGCCATCCATCTGTCCTGATCGTAGGTCTTGGAACTGGCATGTCACAGCTGCAGTCACATCAGTGTTTCCCATCAATCCCTCTTTGGAGCTGACAGAAGAGTAATCTTGTTTCCTTGAGTTTTCTGTTTGGGCTTTTCTTGTAGCATAGCCACACTCCTCTTGTGTACCCAAGCCAGAAATTTTGTGGTTTCTTTGCCCCTTCTCACCTTTCATGTGTCTTTTGTTGCTTAATCTTACTGATCCTATTTGATTCTATCTCTAAGGCCACTCCTGCATCTCCATTTTGCAAGTTCAGGCCTTGGGTACCTCTGGGCTGGAATTAGTCAGTTACCTTGTCATTAACATCCCTGCTTGTACACTGTTAACCCTCCATCCAGGCTTTTGAGAGCTGACAGTCTCACACACTCCCCTTTCTTCAAAGCCTACAGATTTCCTTGGCATTATACTCCAAAAGCCTTCCCTCATTCATAATTACGTCTCCACACAGCTATGCTTGAACCACAGCGAACTATCTAATGGCACAACTGAACTCACAACTTCTTTCCCCTGTTGTTTGCTCATGCTGGTCCTCTCCCACGTTGCTCTAGCCCCTTTGCAGCCAAGTGAGACACATACTCATTTTTTAAGACCCAAGCCAAATACCACCATTTCTGTAAAACCACCCCTAATCTTCAAACACTTTTTCTTATAACTGCTCTAACAAGTAGATTGGTACATCCCCATTGCCCTCCAAGACAAATATTCTGAAAAGCGAACATTTGGGAGAATGTTTTGGTTTTTTCTAATTCCTATAGTCACCAATTTAGCAGATACTTAACAGAACAAGTTCTCTCAACTTCTTTAGTTGCATCATTCTGAAGTTCAACTCTGAAGTTTTAAAGTAAATCTTGAGTGGAGAAGTGTCAGTGAATTACCACTGTGCCATTTTGCTTTGAATAACATGCATGCTGGGAGTTCCTTCTAGCCATCAGTCTTCCGTAATTCCCTAGAGCAGTGAAAGTTATACATAATAGACCTTTCTGTGATGAGGCTGATGTTTTACATCCTCAGTGCTTGGTGTGGTAGGTCTTTTGAACCTTAAAATGTGGTTAATGCAACTGAGGAACTGAATTTTAAATAGCAGATTTTAATTAACTTAAAAGTGAACTTAAATACCTACATATGGGTAGACGGCTACCATATTGGACAGTGTATTCTTAGGGGGTATTTATTTTGTGGCTTCCAGATAGCTCCCAGTCTAGGGATTTCCTGATAGGTAAAGGGGGAAGGTACAAGTGTTAATGTTGCCCTCTTTCTTTAAAAAAAAAAAGATTTTATTTATTTCTAGACAGAGAGGGAGGGAGAAAAGAAGGGAAGGAAATATCAATGTGTGGTTTCCTCTCACGTGGCCCCTACTGGGGACCTGGCTCACAACCCAGGCATGTGCCCTGACTGGGAATTGAGCCAGTGACCCTTTCATTCACAGGCCAGCACTCAATCCAGTGAGCCACACCAGCCCGGGCATTAATGTTGCCCTCTTTTAAGATCCAGCTGCAGAGGGACTCTGGGAGTCCTGCGGTGTAGTTAGTCCATTAGCCACAAAAGTATGCTGCCCAAGGGAAAGAATGAATAGTAGCACCTATAGAATGGTTCGCTCGTAGAAAATGAACTTTTAAAATTCTCATTGTAGGTTGGAGACCTCATTTATGGACAATTTGTGGTTGCTAATAAAGATATGGAACCAGAGATGGTGTGTATTGACAGCTGTGGACGAGCCAACGGAATGGGTGTGATTGGACAGGATGGCCTGCTCTTTAAAGTGACTTTGGGCTTAATTAGAAAGTAAGTCCCAGTGCCTTCTGGCTTGCCTGTCTTTTATTATTATATTCTCTCGGAAGCTGATCTTTGGGGTTTGTATTCTTCCTAACAACATCTGAACCTCCTTAGAGTTAAAAAATCAGTATCCATTTAAGCACAGTTGTAAACTTACGGATTTAGTCTCATCCTCAGTTAGTGTGAATACATTGAATTTAGGTGTAGTTGGTGTTGAAGTTTTCGTGTTAATAAGGAGTCGGGGTTTTTCTCCTGGGTGTGCTGTTCCTTACAGCTGATACACTCAGCCCAAATGTAAAAACTGGCCTTTGCCCCTAAGTCACTTTAATACAGATGCAATTTAGTTGTATGAAATCACCAAATTTCTCTAATAATGGGAGTCAGTGCATGTAGGCTGATGTGGTCCTTAAGCTTATGTAGACATTCACAGAAGGCTCCTGCTATTTTGTCCCGGTAGATTTAATATTCTCAGAGGCAGATTCTCTTTGTTAGTGTTTACACTTGCACCTACCCAAAGCTGTGCCCCATGAAAGGGTTTTAGTTTTAGACTCCAAAGTTCAGGGCTATCTTGAATAACTCTCTGCTACTTATTCTGCAAATTTGGATAATTAGTTCAGGTCATTAAAGAAGCATGTTATTAACCAAGTAGCACCCTTATGGTTCTGCTTGGAGAGTTAACGCTTCTCTCCAAGTAGTGAATTTAATACCAGGGATTGACTTACATGGTTAGGCAAGTAAGTTTAAGGTGTTCTTTTAGCACTGTAGATAAATAAAAAAGCTAGTTTTAAGGAATCATAGAATTAAGGAGCTCTGGCAGTGCAGGGGAAGATCTTTATACACAAGTTGGTGATGGGGTGATGGTGTGTGGAAGGTGGCCCGCGCTGTGGCCTCTGACGTACTGGTAAGTAAAGTTTCTTAGATAAAAGGGGCAGCGCACGGGCCTTGTTCTTGGAGTGATGGTGCGGCTTTACAGCTCTGGAGAACTGCCTAGAAAGGGGGTCTCCTAAAGGAGAGTCAGGTCACACCCACTTCACTGAAACTTCATTGCCTTCCTCTTCCTCACCAGGCTGCTAGCTCCAAACTGTGAGATCCTACAGGAGTTGGGAAAACTCTACCCTCTGGAGATAGTGTTTGGAATGAATGGAAGAATATGGGTGAAGGCGAAAACCATTCAGCAGACCTTAATTTTGGCAAATGTTCTAGAAGCTTGTGAGCACATGACAGCAGATCAAAGAAAACAGATCTTCTCCCGACTGGCAGAGAGTTGATCTGTGTGGACTTTTTAAGGGGTCAGTTGAGCCAAGAAACTGGATTCCCTGGGGGAAATTTTTTTCAGGGGACCCTCTCTCCATTAAATCTTCAGAAGACAAGATATTGTCTTTAAGTTAGAGTTAAAAAACCTTTTTATAAGAAAGTCACTGTTTGCCACCCATGTTCTTATGGGTGAGAAAAATCATTGTAAAGGTGTATTTGTTGTCTTTACAATAAAGTTTACTGAAAGTTAGTATCATGGTTTACTTGGTGTTAACTTCCTCAGTTTTGCTAGAGCAGTTTCTGTAATAAACTGGAAGCATTAAAATAATGACTTTTCTGATAATAGTAAAACATGTTCACCAAGAACGTAACATACATAACAAAAGAAGCAAATAAAAATCACCTGTTATCCCACTATTTAGTGGTATGTAACAGTTAACAATTACATGTTTACATATCGTGTATTGTTCTGAGTGTTCTGCTTAGATTAGCTCATTTATTCTCAGTAACTGCAGAAGAGACTCATCCTCCTAGTGCAAGAAGCTGAGGCAGAGATTTTCACCTAGTGGCATATGTTCTCAACCATTAGGCCCAGAAGGATACAAAGATACTCCCAGAAAGCGTCCTGTAAGGAGGCTACAGTGTGATGACAAGCCCTCCACGCCCTACGTGGAACAGGGTAGACAAGGCAGGAGCCACAGGCAGAAGAAAATGCTACGTGAGCTTAGAGGGTGAGGCCAGAACAGCAAGGCAGCCTGAAAAGCACACGTACAGCAGGTTACTGAGTGGGAGACTGCATGACGAGGGGCTTGGACAAAGTTGTCCAGCTTCATGGTGCCAGTTTAAACTTCTTGATATGACATTATGTAAGCTATCTCTTAAGAGTACACAAGTAGATGTACAAAAATGAATTAACACATCAAAAGCCATGTAGTTTAAGGGCTAATTCCTTGTTATGTAATAAAGTTTATTTTAAAAGACTTTATTATTTCTTTTTTAGAGAGAGGGGAAGGGAGGAAGAGAAAAAACATTGATCATTGCCTCTTGTGCACACCCTGACGGGATCACCCTGCAACCCAGGCATGTGCTCTGACTGTGTCCAGCCAGCCGCCTTAAGCTTTATGGGATGACACCCGACCAACCGAGCCACACCAGACAGGGCCCTTATATAAACTTCTGACTTGAGTCAAGACAAAGTGGGCACTTCCTGTGACCTGGGCACTGTATGAGATACAAAAGAGCATCAGATGTGGTCCCTGCCATTAGTAGGGACCCTATACTCTCCAGACCCAAGATGCCAAGTAAAGGCAGCGTGCACCACCACCGCCGTCTGCCCTGCTCTTTGGTCCCTTCAGCAACTCCGCTCCTGCAGCTGCGATCGTGGGCTGTCCGTCATTCCACTGGGTCCTGAAGAACATAGCCTCTTCTGGAAGAAACTCCTCTCTTCAACGCTTCAGGCCAGTTTTGAGTCTCAAAGTAAGTGGACAGGATATCAAATACTGTTAGAAAGGTAAACAGAAAACACAGTGACCACACACTAGAAAAGGAAAACGAGTAGATCACCAATGAGAAAAGGGTGTTCTGGAATATTTCATTCAACAAACCTACTCTGTACCACCCACGGTATTTGATCTTGGGGAGGCAGAGGCAAAGATATGGGCCCCGCTTGCCTGTAGGGCCTCGGTCTACACTGAGAGCTATGGGCCCACAAATGGCCAATGCGGCACAGAGGGGAACACGGTACAACGGGAACACATAGGAGAGGCCCTGGCATGGCTTGGGGCAGGGAGAGGAGCAGCCAAGATGCTTGAACTGAGTCTGGAAGGACAAATAGGAATTCGCCAGTCAATATGGGTTAAAGGCAGAGCATTCTAGGCCAAGGCAACAATTTAAATTGTATTTAATGTAGCTGGGAATTAGGAAGAAAATGTAAAACACCTTTGAGAGGCCAGAATACACGTTACAAAGTGCATGCAATAAAATCCAAGCACTTCAGTCACGGGGGAAGCTGCCTCAAGGGCCATTCATACTCCAACACCATGCAAAGCAGAACCAGAACTAACACCACAGGTCAAGGCCCATGTGGGCGGTACCTTGGTTGATGGTCAGTATCTCTGAATGATAGTTTTTCCCATTCTGGCGTCTGACCATATATTCCTGGATTGGCAAGCGGGCTGTCTTGACAGAGTGTTCTTGGGCCTTTTGAAATGTCACCTTCTGTAAATCACAGTTAAATATTTTTCTTTTAAAACTAATAAATGAAGATATTCTTGTAACATGCATAGCAAATTGCAAGAATCACCAATTACTACCACTCTAATTTCTATCTCATCATAATTCATGATAGGTGTATTAAAAATAAGTAGCCTGCAGATAATTAAGAGTACAGAGAATGAAGAGTATTTACTTGGTCCGAGGAAGAAGCGGCTTGGGCGGCAATACCTCACTTACTTGGGAGCCCTCTATCCACCGTCTTCCACACGTTACTACTTACAGCCAAGAAGGAAATAAGTTAAGAGAGGCTTCATCTGCAGCCACAATCTGCATCCAGAAGCCCAATCAGAAAACATTGCTGGCCCTAACTCAGGAGGACCCAGTTCTAGCATAGAGCTTTCAGTTCATAGCCAACTGGTAGCCACAAATTGGAGAAGAGACAGGATTCAAGTCAGGTACGCCAGTAGCTGCAAGAGAGCATTGAGTGTGAGAGTTAATGCTCTCTTGTTGCTTCTGAGAGAAGAAGGGCTCTAAAAACTGCAAAAAAAAGGAGTCATGAGAACTCAAAAAGTCCCAATAATCGGAGGCCACTTAGGGTCTCATTTAGAGAAAAGTAACTGGTGTTCTTTGAAGATGGCTTTGAGCCATGAACTGAAGTTTAAATTATATTTGCCACCTTGTAAGATGCTGGAAAGGTCGTCTATCCGTTTGCAATTTCAGGATCAGAGACAGGGTTGGTCACTGGGATAGTTAACGTGCTGGGGTTTGGAAGGGGCCTCAGTGGACTCCGACCGCCTGTCATCCAGGTGGACCCGTCCTCCTTGACTCTCTCCCAAGTGGCCTCTGGCTTTAAACGAACAAACCCTGTGACAAGAAACTCACACATCCCGGGGAAACCTATTCCAATTTTAATAGTACCAGTTAATAGGAATTTCTTGATACTGAGACAAGTTTTCTGTTGTTGTTGTTTTTTCTCTGAGACTCACTGTTGTGTTTTTTTTTCTGCTCCCAGACCCATGCCAGCCACTCGGATTCTGGAAGGCAGGGGCCACACCACTGTGACTCCTCGTGTCTCCACACTCAGTCCTGCCAACTGTCCTTTGTGACTTAAGATCTGACTCTTCGTCATTCAGGTCAGCCCCTCCTGAACTTGTACCAGCTTGTCGATGCCCTTTCGGTTACTGGGTCTGGAATGCTGACTGGCCGCCCTCAGCGCGGCCTCGCCAACGGTGCCTGCACCTTCTGTGTTCCGACGCCTGCCTCTGAGACTCACATGAAGCACAATTCCATGCTCCTTGCATAAATGAGCTATGATTGCTTTAAAAAGTTTATTCCTTGATAACCACTTTGAGCTAGAGTATAGAATTCAAAGTTAGTAGACTTGGACGCTGCCCTGGAGGAGATTACAGTCTGGTGTTTGTTTTCCGAACATTTAAAGATAAAGTGACTCCTCCTGAAGAAATGTTTTCCTTCGCATTTTTCAGTGAAGCAGCCAAACTCTATTAACAGCCCCAAGCGCCATCTAGTGACAAACCTCTGTGCCAGTTATTTTCCAGTTTAAATGTCGGTGGAGAGGTAGGTGGGGTGAGGTGTCAACACTGCGCACCCACAGGCCGCACTCACTCACTGACTAGGAGGGGCTGTCGCTCTGCTGTGGGAGGTGGCTCTGAGCTGTTACGTCTTCGCAGTCCTCCTTAATTTGAAACAGTGCCCCCTGACTATCTCAGTTTTTCTTACATTGAGGTGACGAAACACTGACCTTTTTAGAATAAATGCAATTTGGTTAAATATCATTTGTGTTAAGTGTGTATCTCATATATATATGAAAAATATGTAAAATATACTCACACATATGGAAAAACATCCATATAAAATATACCCCCAAACGGATACTTGTGTAATCACAGGCTGTATCAAGAGGGACACACAAGAAAAGAGTGGTTTTCTCGAGTGGGGGACAAGAACCAGAATGAGATGTATCTCTCACTGTACTCCTTTCTATACAATTTAACTCTTAATTCACTCTTTATTATCTATGCCATGTTAATTAGTAAATATAACAAAATTATCATAAAATACTTCTATAATATAAACATATTGAGAAAGTCCAGTTATTCCAATAAAATTCCAATTCAACAAAAGGAATCTGGACAGTAATACTGAGGCTGAGCTTGTAAGACTTTTATGCCGGCAGGGGAGGTGGACTGAGAAGGAGCCAACGACTCCCCCACAAAGAGCGCGGAGCTGGTGAGAACGCTGAGGCAACGCTCCCCTGGTGGAGGCCAGAGCTCTCCTCCCAAAATCGGGGAGGAGAGAGAAGAAGGGAGCTCACCACAGCTGCTGATGCGATTACCCCACCCCCACTCTGTCTCCAACTCGCTCTGTCAGGTCAGGACTGGGGTCAGGACTGCTGCCGCTGCTGCTGAGGGCAGAGGGCAGAGGGCACTTAGCAGGTGGGAGGGTCGGGCCAGGGCGGAATGGGCTCCTCCTTCATGTTCCTTCTGCCTTTTTAGGCCTTTTGGGTAAGATTATTACAGGGCGGGTACCTCTAAAAGTAAGCACCACTTTTCAAAATACAGTTTTTCAGCCTAACACGTACTTACCTTCTGAATACTTTCGTCCACAAGTCCGCCGAGGATGTAAACTTTGTTTAGATCAACATCTTCAAGAGCTAATGAGGAAATGAAGGCCAATGAATCAGATCTGTTTTTATAATTTCTAAATCCAAGGAAACAGAAGGAAAGCATGATAAAAGAAATTTGATGAAAAGGAAAACAAAGGCAGAATATTTGCTAATTCTGTGAAAAGACCCATTAAATAGGCAAACCTTTGGCATATCTGATCAAGAAAAAAAGGCAGCAGGCTCAAATCAACATTAGGATTCAGAAAGGAGACAAAATCAAAATTAGAGAGGAATGTGAAATAATTGTAAGAGAATATGAAGATCAACGGAATATCAATGAATTTGAAAATTATGTGAAATAGATGATTTTCTGGAGAAAAATATATAACGTTGGTCCAAGACAGATCAGTGGCGGGCGCTGACCAGGGACGGGCTGGAGGCAGCGAGCTCCGTGGGCCCGCACAGCAAGGCACGTACCGCATTCCGAGTCCGGAGTCAGGTACACGAGGGCCTCCAGGGGGAACAGACTAAAGCAGTCTTCTTCTGTCACGTCCAGCTGAAAAATACAAGTATCCCAACGCACTGTGAACTGGGCTGAGACACAGCCACACTAGTTACCAGACATCTAGTTTCTATCAGGCTGGGCTCTAGCTGCATCCAGGGGCTGCATGTCCGACCACCTGTTCTCAGAAAGGGCTCGGCTGGGGAGGGGAAATGCAAAGGCGCAGACAATCAACCCTATGGCATGAGAGGGGAAGTAATGAGGCCCCGACAGACACAGGGGGAGAGCACCCCAGGACTACAGAGGAGGGCGGGCAACCAGAGACAGGCTTCTAGTGAAGGCAACGCTGGAACTGGGTTTCTGAAGAGGCGAGACTGACACGTACAAAAGAGGTGCACTCAGTGTGGAGAGAGACTCCCACCAGGGGTATGAACACAGCAGAGCAAGGGGCCGCGTGGCCCTGCTTCACGGTCAGGAACCCTCAAACACGTAGGGGGCAAAGTAAGGCTGGAAATGGCCGCACTGCAGCAGGGGCTGTGCGACAGAGCACCAGGGCGTCTTCACACTCCCTGTCTCTGCGACCCTCCCTCGGGAAGGCCATACTGCCCCCTGTCTGGGACATGATGCAAACGCACAAGGGCGTCTTCAGTGGTGTCTCAGGAACAGATCTGGATTCCTGCCTGTATTTCAATCACTACACTTACGAGATCTGAGGGAAAGAGTTGAAAACTAAATTGGTATTCTCTAAAACTCACTCTAAATCCATATGACTTCCATAAGGATTCTCTCTACGAGTTTCCTCCAAAACTCATGTTCATAACTCTGTATTAATTGAGAACAATAAAGGAGTCACGGTGTTTCCCCAAAATATTCCTGGCGCCTACAGTCAAGGAAACAAAATACAGTCCTAGATACTTCTTGCCCATGTGGTGGAAAGAAGGAAAAATTTAAATATAAGAATTAATGAACTGGTCTTAATTCTTCTAGACTGTAATAATGAAAACACGTAATTTATTTATATATGTATAAAACATGAACATTGAAAATGTAAAAAAATCACTCCACAACCTACTTTTTAGACGACAATGCAAGTATTGTGAAAACGAGGCTCACCAGGTAACTGGAAAACCCGTCGTTCATCCTCAGACACTCTTCATACAGGGGGCTGTCTGTCCCGAACCCTGTGAGGCAGATCCAGAAAGGCCTGCTGGCTTTCTTGTTCGAACCATACAGCCTCCGGATCTGCCCAGCCAGTCTGCTTAGTTCCTTCAAAGAAACAAGAACAACTTAGGGTGCAAACATGCCCTCTTTCTAAATTCACTATCTACAAACGGTTCCTCAGCAAGTTCACTGAGTGCGACTCTGGAAAACCTCATGAGCTAGAAGGACCCCCTTTGCTCCCGGAGCGAGTAGCTGAATGTGAGTGGGCGTTCTGCCCCCTGGCATTGCACCTTAGGGATGAAAGCTGAGGTCTGATGTTAGCCCAGAATCAGTGAACTAAGGGAAAAACTGAGAATTCTCCCTCCTTGAGCAAGACCCACCGTTAAATACCTAATTTGATACCTGAAATTGTTCTTTAAGCTTTTATCTAAAGTCTTACCATGTGGCGTTTACAGTTAAAAAGAAGTTAGAATATTATACATTTTTATATTCCATCAGCTAAAGTTGGCACCTTCTCCCTAACTCCAGGGGACGCAGTAGGATTGGGAGTTTTAGCTTCCCAATCCTGATTCAGAGACCTCACGATCTGGACTGATTTGGTTTCAGTAGAGGAAAAAAGGCTCTGTGTTCGATTTAATCTGATATCTCAACAGAGACAACAGGAAATCCTTGGCTGCTCTTTTCAGAGGGTTATAATTAGGTCCCGCTCAGAGCCGCAGATCCTGTTTTCCTCATTTCTCTGAAAAATAGGCAAGCCCTAGCACGGACAACGGGAGTGTTGGAAAATAGAAAGGTCTGTTTTGTGGTGTAAGGCCTAAAACGAAGGCCTGATTCTGTGTGCTGCCTGACATCTGGTGAAGCCTGGGGGGCCTTGAATGGCCTAACTGCAAGCTCCTCCCCCAATTCTGCTCCCACGGATAAGGTCCCCTCGCTAAGCAATCCCATTCATCTAAGGGACCAGGTGTAGTTCCTGATTATCCCTGAGCAGTGGGTTTTAATTCCCTGCCAGCCCAGAGCATTATTCCAACACTGCGACTGCAGCTTCCTGCACAAACCAGGGCACTCCCCCTTCTTGACACGACAGAGCTTGCTCCCATAGTCCTTGATTGTTCATTCTGTTCCAAAGTGTGGCCCTGCATGCCATGCAGTGTCACCTTCCCTGGGGCTGAGTACATGTGGCTATAAGCTGCTATCCATCTTATCTGTTCGGAGTGCGTGCCAAGTGCTCAGCACCCCCGAACCCGACCACTAAAACACATGCCTCGCAGGAATCTCCCACAGCCTGTAACCAGGCAAATTCCTCACCCCAGCGGAGGGCCAAAGACTTCGTCTCTGGAGAATTGAAGTGAAAGGCTCCAGTTAGACTGGGGACACCACGATCACAGAGGCAAAGGGTTGATCTCAACAGAAAGTTAAGTAAAAATCTGCCAACTAAACCAAAGGATGTCTGTCCTCTTGCTGATTCTTTACAACAGCCACCTGGGAACATTTAGTGTCCTAAATGCTGGTTTTACTAGAGTCACAGCAGCTCTCTGACTGCTGCCCCCTTCTGGACTTCCCCTGTGTGAGCAGGAATTTGGAACGTGGCGGGTGTTCTACCTTCTTAGACATGTGGTGAGTCATACTCAAATCGATGCAGAGTCTTGGTCCTGAGTGTCTGGCTTCCAAAAGTTTCTCCTTGGTTAAGGATCTTAGAAAACGCTTGCTGTGCTGGGGGCAGAGGCCTAGAACAGAAATATCAGGGGGGGAAAACATAAGTGAGAAAACAGAGGAATAATACTGAGTAAGAAACACCTCTCCCCAGCCAGGTGAGCGCCACTCGCACAGGAAGCGAAACCAGGAACTTGAAACTTGTGCGAGGGGTGCATTCACCAGTGAGTTGAGGGACCGCAGGGGGCAGTGGCCGTGGGCTCTGGGTCTAAATCTCGGTTCAGCGTGTCGTTTATGGCCTGTATCATGTTATTCAATTTCTCTGAGCCTCAGCTGCTTCACCTACAAAATGGGGGTAGTAAAACACTTAGCCCTGAATAAATGTTAGCTGTTTGTTGGGACTGTCTTTCTACATCTGAGCTTATAAACACATGTGTACACTAGATAGTTTATATTTCAAAGTGAGACTTCAATTTTTTTTGATACTTTGATTTCCAACAAAATAGGACACTAGGTCTCACCCCCCAGATGTTGGCTTTTACATAAAAACAATCTTCCTCTTCCCCTAGGTACATGCAGATACCAGTTAGCTAAGAAATAAATGCAATTATACCAGTAACCTGATTCAGTGTTACCTGAATTTTCTACACGGTTCGCTTTTCTTCTTTCTTTCTCTTGTTTCCTTTTGCTCTTCTTCGCTGCAACTATCTTTTCCCAGTGTCGCTGTTTTCTTTGGACATTTTTCTTAGGTTTTCCAGAAAATAAAATTGAGAACTTTATAAGCACCAAAAAGGAAAACGAGTTTTAAGAACAGTTACTTACTTTTTTAAAATTTAGATATAAAGTTAGGAGAGAAGAAGGACATTAGTCTGTTCAACAAAAACAGACTAGACTGTGTTTGGAGGGAACAGCCCCTGAAAAGACACGTGACGTGGTGGGCCTAGAGCGGAGGCTAAATTTTCCTGACCCTTCTGAGGTGCATCAAAAATCCTTCTTGAACTTTACTTACCTTTCTTATGACACAAGTAAAATGGAAGGCCTAACCCACTTAGTCAATAAGAAATTCAACCCTTGGAACCCACCAAACTCATCCCCAGTCTTTCTGTTACCAGGACCTGCCCTCAGGACAGGGGTCTCTAGGTCGCCCCATCCTCTCCAAGCCCGGGTCGCCCACCGCACTCACCGAGCACCACACGGCACTGCCCGGGTGTTGGGTCTCTTTCTCCCGATGCTCACATTCCACGTCAATCTGTAGAAGCTGGAGGCTCTCGGAGATGTCATCCTCGCCGGTGTCCTCGAGGACGACTCGTCGCTCCGGCGGCACTGGTGACTCTGTTTTCTGAGCGCTCCCTTCCCATCTCCAGTCCATGTGCTCAGTCTCCTTTCCTTCTCTCCCAGGTCAGGAAAAGACACAGTGACGTGGGATGTCACGTGACTTCACGCTCAGAGGGATTCTCCGGTATCCAAGTGATGAAGGGTGCTCCTATGTTACCGAGGAAGTGTGTAAATAGTAACGGAGGCTTATTGAAAAGCATGTGTATCCCAGAGAAATGAGTCAGCACAGCGACATTGCAGCAGCGAGGGAGCCAAACCCACTTCTCAGGAGACAAGCACAGCTCCTGACCCCTCCGAGGACCCCGCGACCGATTCCCTGCTGCAGGGGCGCAGAAACCCAAGTTATTTACAGTGTTCTTTGAAATCCACTCACGAGTCGAGGGCGGGACAGAAACAGCAAAAGCCACCTCCCTTATATTTCAGTTTATTTTCAAACTGAATATACAATGAGCACCTACCATACGCAAAGTCCTCTACTAGAAACACCCTTGGGGGGACGAGGAGTGAGTCAAAAACTATGGCAAAGGGGGGCCCCAAACCAACCAAGAACACCAGGTTGCTGGTGATGTAACGACATTTGTGTTTCCAAACTATCCATCTATTGCCTCCTCCAATGCAAGTAAGTATCTATCCCAGCAGCAGAAAGCCACAGTCTCCAGTGAGACCCGCTGATACCCCTCAGAAGTGCTGCGGCAGAAAAACACAGAGAGCCACCGTCAGAGCGCACTTAACCAACATCACAATGTCAAGGTGGTACTTGAACTCCTCGACAAAGACATGAGTGAAAAAACGCTCCAGCCTACAGTTGTCACAAAGAATTGAATGACCGCTGCGCACGACTGCTGCTCTGGGTCCAGGGTGCGACCTCCACTTAGAAAAAGTGTATCTGTGGCAAAGTAAATCTGTGGGTTACCCACATGGTCAGAGATCTATTTATGATGAAAAGCGATGATCCTCATTCTGACCCCTCCCACCACCAGCAGCAACCCTGGTTAACCAGGCTTTTTAAGTTCTGGTGACTAGGCCCTTGACATCATATATTTACACCATTATTACTTCTTGATTCATCAACTCTGAATTTTATCAACTCCCAATGAAACCCACTAGAATTCAAGTCACTTCAATTAACCTCTTTTACTGTTTGTTTCTGTTAGCTATCTTGGCCTTTAATTTTTTTCTGAGATATAATTTTTCTGAGTAAAATGCAAAGATTTTTAAAATTTGAAATGTGTATTCATTTTCCTGCCTAGGCTAGGTTTACTTTTGCTTAGAAATCTCTTCTTTAATACTAAGTACAAATTTTGAAGTACGTATTTATACCATGGACTGTATCACTGAGTTAATGGCATACACAAAATGAAATAGTGTCCATAGTATTTCTAAAAAAACGAGGAAAATACCAAGTTATCCTTAAACATTTTGGAAGCACTGCACTATTCACACGTGAACAGTGATGTTAGTTACAAACTTCTTTTTAAGCAAAAGATTCCCTGGCCCCTCTTGTAACAGTTTCCTTAGATGACTGAACAAGCTGTTATGCCAGCCAGCAGTGTTATCTTTGTTTTTCTGTATTTAGGCATTCAAATAAGAACAAATGGAAACTTTAAGTAAGATAAACCGCTCTTATACCTAACAACCTCATTTTGTTAGGGGAAGAAAAGAAACAAATTTGTTAAATGAATGCTAGTTTCTTAACAGCCATGGCGCTCTTCCTCCTCCGAGTTCCACAGCATTTTGCATTCTTATTTGTGTTCATCGATAACTACTCATTGAGCTCCTCCTCTGTGCAAAACCTTTTGGGGAATGACTGGGAAGCAATGAATGTACATGTTCTCACTGGAGAAGGTCTGGCTCAGGAGAAAGGAGAGGTAGGGGTTCAAGCAGTTGGGGTGGGGGCGCTGCAGAGTTTTGTCTACTGTTTTAAAAACTGGAAGGTTAATGCTCATCTTTTCTCTCCTACCAACCTGAATTCCTTTTCAGGAGGGACCACAAAACTACATCCACCTAAATAGCAAACAGTTCAAAGACTCTTACAAATGGCAGTGTTTAAAATCAATGTTTGTTGAATAAACTGAATTTTACCACCAGTGCCCCGAATCCCTCCTTTCCTATTGCATTCTTCGTATCTTTGTCCTCTCCAAATTCCTACAGTCCCTGAGAATGTTTTTCAGACCAGAAACTTGGAATACAGTGATTTTGAAAATCACATGAAGCAATGCCAACCACTAACCAGAAGAGTCTGAAACGGAGCAGATCAGGCATTCATGAGGATAGGGACTATATCTTTTTCTTCTTTACACCCTCAGTGGCTAGCACAGGCCTGGCACAGAATGGAAAGCTCAGGGAATACTGAGTAGAAGCTTACCACCTCCTCAGAGAGCAACGGTGAAGTAGGGCATCACGGGATCGCTCAATCCATGTGAGACATTATTTATGCCCACGTTCAGCATTTCATTTCTTTATTTGAAAATGTTTTCTGAGTCTCCATTACAAGTGCAGTGGCTGGTACTGGGATTACTCAGCTAATCATGGAATAAATAGTTACTAAGCACGTGACATAACTGCATACCCTGAGGATTTGGTGATGATGCTCATTCTGTCTTCGTGGGGCTGCAATGATCTGACCCAGCCTCTTATGATGGCTGGTCTGCCCGTTTCCCCACAGGATCACAAACTTCCAGGGAAGAATTCACACGCACATCCCACAGCTCAGTACTGAGCCTCGCAGAATAAAAGCATCCTAGACGATTGATAACCGTGTCACTCCTGTGCTCAGAACCATGCTGGGTTCTCCATTTTACTTACAGTAAACAGCCAAAATCCTTATGACGGCCTGTACTTATCAGTAAGGTTTACATCCCCCATCCACTGTCCTCTGCTGTCGGATGTACTTGCTGTTCCTCAAAACATACCAAGGGTGTTCCCACCTCAGGGCCTTTGCACCTGCTATTCTATCTACTTCCAACACTCTTCCCTCTATGTAATTATATAACTGCATTTCTTGCTTCATTCATATTATCACTATCCAAAGTGGCATATATTTTACTTAGTTTTTGTGGGAACTTCCTCATTCTTATAAGGTAACCAAGTGTTCTGTTTGCTTTGTTCACTACCGTATCCTCCATGCCTAGAAAGGGGCTTGGTACCTAACAGATGCTCAGTAAATACTAGCAGAATTAACAAATCCCCACACTACCCTCATCTCCGAGTTTTCTGACCCAGGGTCCACTTGATGATGGGCACATCCCCGGGGGCCTAGTGACGGGCCGGTCTCTGTTTGCATTCTCCTCTCTTTCTAAATTTTAGTCCACGAAAGCTGGTTCCTTGTCTCAGGCACCTTAGGCAATGGAACACCTAGACCGCAGGCCCGAAAGCACCCCGGCTGTGGGTCTCACCTGGCCCATAAGCTGCAAGTGAGAAAGGGGGCAGGAAGGGAAAGCACCAAGGTGTGGGACACCGGATCACACAACTGTTAAATGCTGTTTCCCGGGTGTCTTCCCCGGCAAGCTACAGCAGTGCCAAGCCAGACCACCCCCCTTCCCCATCCCCACCAGGTCTAGCAAAGAGCTCTCCGGGCGTACCTGATCAAGTCACGCTGCGGCAATTCTCTAATGGCCCTGTCTCCCGACCCACTTCCGGTTTCTCCCCCCTTCCGAATGGCATTCTGGGAATTGTAGTTTTCGGCCCGGCCGCTGGTGTTCAGGGGTCGGAGCCGAGGCTTGCGCTTCCAAGCAGCACCCAGGCACTAGGGAGCTCCGTCCCGCCTAAAGTGTTGCCGTGCTTCTCTAAGCCTGTTTTCCCGATTGTAAAATGGGATCACAATTCCAGCAGCTTGCTGACCTATAGGGTTGCTGCAGATGCCCAGGGCTTTAATGGCTGTCGAAGACTGGACATTGTGAAATTGGGCTGAAACCAGACTTAGAACCACCTCTCATCTCGCAGCCTGGGGGCCTTGCCCTCGCTGGGCTTCCCCGGAACCAGCAAGGCCCACGAGCTGACTCAGCCCTTCCCTGTGCACACGTTCCCCCTGTCCCCCCTGGCTGTCCACTGTCCAGGCTCACAGCAGAGATGTCCGGGCCTGGGCAGGTAAGGAGTGAGGCTAGCCCCTGGCCACTCTCCCTTCTCCACCTCTCCTCACGTATCAGAGGGGAAACTGAGGCTCAGAGACCTGAAGTGATTTGCCCAACCCTTGTCCTGATAAAAACTATCAGCCATTTTTGCCTTTATTCCTCCAGTCCTGGCGTCTCAGCCTTTCCGAGAGACCCTACCATGAATGAGCCCAAAACGTCTGCCACCCAAGAAACCACAGCCCCATTGGAACCTTCCTCGGCCCCACACCGTTGCCCCCTCTGGACTTTCTTTCCACAGCAATTCCCACCCCGCTCCCAAACCATGCTTCAATCCATTCTTTATCTGATCCTAGAGCAGTTTTTAAATGCGAAAACTAAACATTATCCCCTGCGCCCCCCAAGAAGGCTTTTTCTAAAACCCAGTTCTAATATCTCTTCTTTGTTCAGAAGCTGGCCCTGGTCTCCCACTCAGCAGGGCTTGCAAAGTGGTTCGCGTGGTCTTCAGCGGCTCCCACCACACCTACCAGTCCAGCCCTGCACAGCCCCCATTTGCAACCCCCTCCGTGGCTTCCTGTCATACTTGGGTGTAAAATCTTCCCAAGGCCTTGCACAGCCTGGTCCCTGGCTGCTCCTCCAGCCTCATCTGCCTCTCTTCCTCCAGCTTGCTGTGCTCCATTCGCACCTGTGTTCTTGAAAGCACACTGGAGACTTTTGCAGGTACTGTTCCCTTTCCTCTCACTTTCTCCATGGCTGGCTCCTACTTAATCTTTCTGCTTCAACATTCTTTCTTCAGAGAGGCCTTTACTGATCACCCAAGATAAGACTGGCTCATCTCACCCCATCTTGGCACTCTTCTCATTTTTTAAATATCAGTCATCTTTTTTTTTTTTTTTCGGTGTCTTCCTACTAGTTATAAGTTCCTTCAGGGGAACCATCTATCATGTTGATGGTTGTATTCCCAGTGCCATTACAGAGTAAATATCTGTTGACAGAATAAAGAAATGAGTGATATTTCTTCTTTCTTCACACACCCAAAACTTACCTTCCTATCTATCAAATCTAGGACCTGATGCACAGTAGCTACTCAAAAATACTGCTTGACAAACTAGTTCTAATTAATGTTGCCTCCTACGGGGAGCCTTCTCTGATCACTATTCTGCCCCCACCCAACAGCGACTTCTTTGGACTCTCGTACACTCTGTTCTCTGGTGGCCCTGAGCACACCATGCCTTACGCTGTAGGTCTCTGTCTCTACATGTCCTCATATCTTTTGGACCAAGAATACTTGAAAACAGGATTCTCACCCAATTATTTACATCCATAATCCTGCATCAGGAATCACCTCACATGGGTTTACCGTAAATGCTTGTAGAAAGAAATGAATCAGCCAATATGATGGCGGATGGGAAAAGCAAGGAGAGATGTAAATGTCCAGTAGTTTCTTAGTCATTCAATAAGTAACTCTCGCATGGTGAGGTAGGCAGGCCCTGTCTGCCTATCTCATGTAGGGGGCCGTGTACTCAAAGAAAGTGCTAAACAGGATAACTGCCCCTGTGCTTTAGAGTCTCCACAAGCAATGAGGGGTTTCCCAGGGCTTCTGGGGCTTAGTACTCCTCGTGGAAACTGCAGAGCAAAATACCAGCTTCAGACTGCAGCAACCCAAGGAAGTCCATGGATTTGAGGGGCGAGGAAGCAAAGGAAGAAGGACACACACATTTGAGTGCTTGTGCCGGAGACTCCACAGTCTTCTTCCTGCCTTCTGTCATTGTTTCTCACAAAGCAAACCCTACTTCCGGGTGGTACGCTGGTAAGAAAGTGTTTGCGGGGCATCTGGCACACTGTAGGCCCTCACTAAAGGGAGACTAGTGTTTCCCTCTGTCAGATGGGGGACCCGAGACCCAAATGAATGCCTGTAACAACACTGCCGGGGCTGAAGCCCTGAGCTCCTTCCCTAAACTTGTAAACATGCAGATTGTGTTCATGGAAACAAGTCATGTAGCTCTTCACAGCCTCCTGCCGCTGTGAGCATTCAGGCCCTTTTTAACAGTGTACAGCTTTCATTATTAAGTGTCCTATTTTTCCTACTTTTCATTGCCATGAAATCACTTCAAATCTGTGTTCAAAAGCCTTGCTTAAATTCTATTCCAAGTGTTCTGTGACAAGAAACAGGCCTCTAAGAAAATAAATCTTTTCCTGGCACAAGTACTGGTTAACTGTTTACTAGTTAACAGGTACCTGGTGACAGGGAATGGGAAGGATATGTTTTGTCTTCTCCCAGGGGATTGCTTTCCCTCTGATTGGCGCATGTTGGGCATGTGACAAAACACCTCCATCTCTGCTCCTGCTTTTGCTGGATGAAGGAGAGGAGCGAGGGAGCCCCCCCAGGAGAGGCAGCGCAGAGGCCGCACTGAGCTCACAACCAATTGGGGGCGCCAGAGGGGCACGGGGACCCCTGGAACAGACTCTAATGGTCTAAGCTGAGTGTCGAAACCACTTTTTGCCTGGACAGAGAAGCCAGGGCAAGAAAAGTATCCCAGGGGTAGTTTGAAATTGCTTTTCCTGGGGTCTGAAAGCAAAATGCCGGGAAGAATTTCAGACCGGAAGAGGCAGCCATAAAGCTGGGGGTCACTACTTACTGAGCATTTACTAGATTGATGTGTACCCTACAGAGTAGGCACTATTAATGTCCCCAATTTACAGAAAAGAAAACCAAAAGCACTTCGAGGTTAAATAGCTTGTCCAAGGTCCCACCAAGATTACCTGGGATTAAACTGGCTCAACTGGGTTTAGTGAGAAAAGTTCTAAATATATTTATTTTGTGCTAATATTATCCTTAAAGAGACAAATCGAATTAAGGGCTTTTGTTTTTGCCTTTTAACTATTTAAAAGAGGAATGCGGTGCAAGATTTAGGGGTGCAGTCAATTTCAGGCAAAGCACAGCGCACACCTGTAGAGCATAGCCATGTGGCTGAGGAACTTACTGCCACCTGGTGGCAACCTATGCTTATCTCAGCGAGGCAGCCCAGATTACCAGGCTCCCTGGTCCAGGTGCTTCAAGCCAAACAAAACTTGCGAAGGTAGAAATCTATCAGATATCACACGTATTCACTCCTATTTGCAAAAGTTATTACCAAATAAGTGTGGTGTGAGAAGACTGTGTTTTTTGGTGACTCCCACCTTCCTCCCTCATTCCTGCCTTCCTGGAACAGGTTGTGACCTCTTGTTTCCACACCCCAAGTACACTTTTTAGGACACACTCTTTACTGATGGTGAACTACTTATCCGTATCCCAGAGGATCTGTGAGCATCCTGACCATGGAGGGACCGATCTTATTTGTCTAAAATTATCCCAAGCTCCTAGCTGGTGGCCCGGCCCAGAAGGAAGTATTCAGAGAATGTAGGGAATGGGCGTGACCCAGACTTATCAGCAGTCTGCCTGATTCAGGCCAAGATTAAGCAGCAATTTATTTAAATACTCTAAATAGTAAACATTTGAGAGGGTGGGTGGAGGAATGAAAGAGGCTCCTCAGGGAAGTGTCCGGGGCAGGGCAGAGGGCCTGGGCGGCGGGCCTGCTCACAGGGCGGTGGATGCCCGGAACTTCTGGGTCAGACAGAACACAGCGGCCGTGAGGGCTGTGCACTGACGGGCCAGAAGTTTCACACTCAGGTCGTGGTAGCCTCTCTCGCAGGTCAGCTTGGCGGCCTCCACAAACTGTTGGTAGGTGTACACCACATCCCTCAGGTTCCCCGCGGCTTCCCTGTGCCGGGCAGAGCAGCGGCTGCAGTCTGTGAGCTGGATGCACAGGCCAGCCAGCTGCACCAGGTACTGGAAGGTGTTGTGCACGGCACCCTGCATCTCCTCGGGGCTCTGGTCCATTCTGATCACATGCTGACAGCTCGACAGCAGCTTCTGGGAGCCCATGCAGAGGTGGCTCCGGCTTTCAGAAAAGTGCCAAGTACACTTCTCTGGGGGGTGTTTGTTCCCATTCCCCCAGGAAGCTTCTAAAATGTCTTGTAATTCCTGTAAGCTCTCTGCCAGTCGGATGAAGCCCTCGGGGGTGCTGGCGGGGGCCGATTTCAGCTGCCTCAGAGCCCTGGAGCAGTACTCTGGCCAGACTTGGCTGTTCCTGGCCAGGGGCTCAGAGCTGCAGCTGTAGGCCCGTGCAGGTCTCCAGGGCAGGGCCAGCCGGCTTCCCGCAGAGGGCGGTGAGGTGAGGGGGACCGTGGGGTGTGCCTCCGGGTCCCTGTCTTCTTCCTCTGTCTCGGACTGCAGGCCACGGAAGCATGTGACGTAGGAGAACTGGCAGCTGCACTGCTCCATCCCAACCCTGGGGGCCACTGTCTCATTGACCCCCACGAACCCTAAAGCTGCGGCCACCCTGAGACTGGCAGAAACTTTAGGATGGCTTTCCGGGGAAAAGCACAAGAAGGACTTCTCATCAGGGGGGCAAATGCTAGGGCTTTTGTCTTTGCTTTCTGACAGTGCACATTGGTTTGAATCTTCTAAGTGGGACCCCTCTTGGGGGAAGGGTAGGGGGCTTAGCAGAGAAGGCCCTGAGTGAAAGCTGACCTGCTGAGTATCCTGGGAGGCTGTGTCTTCTTCCCCTGACACATGGCTAAGTGGCTCTGCTTTGACACCCTCCGGAGGGAAGGCTGACGGAATGGTCTGGTTCTCAAGCAAGAAATCGGGGTCCAAATCCAGCTCCGCCAGTACTTTTTGTGCTTGGGCCTGGCAGGCTTGGCTGGGGGTTTCTCTGCTTTGCCCTTGGAGTTCCAGCGGGGAGTGTGGGGGGGCGGGCTCAGTCCCTGTTACAGGGGTGTCCGAGGGGAGGGAGGCTTCCGTTCCACCATCGGGAGCACTGACACCAGTGGTCTGTGGGACCGCATTTGACACGTCACCCTCAGCATCATGCGAATCCTTCCCAGAGTCATCATGAACTGAGTTGGGGCCGTTTCTGTCTGTAGCTAACTCAACGTGTTCCAAGGACAGCTGTCCTTGTTGCTCCTCCTTCTTGGGGAAAGAAGCCATCTTCTCTCCTGAACTCATTCCACATTCGCCACTTCCAGGCCCATCGTGAGGAGACGACGAAAGGTCCGTGCATGTGGGGGCAGTTTCTTGCCTATGATTTGTAAACAAAGATCCCAATCCTGTTTCCGGTTGGACTCCTCCCAGCTCTACTGTGTTGGCTTGGGGGACGGTCTGTGGCCCTGGGCTGACGGTCGGGCAGATGGGGGCTGGGTTCGGGTCGGCACTGCAGAGGGAGGAGGTGCTGTCCTCCGGCTCTGTGGAGAGTTCCTTGGGGGCACTGCCCTCCGAGTCTTCAAACGCAGACACCGTGTGGCGAGGCTCTGCCCGAGCAGAGTTGGGGCCGGATGAACCTGGGTCGGAACAGTTCGGAGCGCTTGCCGGGGAACCAGCAACAGCGGCAGTCACAGGGGCACCCCCAGGATTCTCTTTATGACTGGGGTCAATCCGGAGGCGAACGGCGGAAATAGAAGTCACCCGAGAGTCGATGACCGATTTGGTTTCCATGGTCTCAGGCTCCATCTCCATGACCCGGGAGGCCGGGTTTTTGCTCTTGGCGTCCCTCAAGGGAGCCAGCAGCCCCAGGGCCTTGGTCTCCAGGAGGCCGGGCTCACCCTGCATGTCCTGCAGAGAGGATACCGTTGGGGAGGGCGCACCAAGGGTCAGGTAGGGCTCCCTGTCATAGTAGCACACGGCGTCCACGTCCTCCAGGGAGGCCGACGGCACCAGGGGAAAGGACACCTGGCAGGTGTAGTCGGTCTGTAGAAAAGACCTCCTTTTTCTCAGCGTCTTGGCGTACTTTCTCACCCCTCCCCTTCTGCCTGGCTCTCTCCCCTCGGGCCCGGTTTTCAGGCTGTCCTCGGGGCTGCAGGTGCCAGCCTTATTCTGCATGCTTGTGGCGCTGGCTTCTGCAGCAGAAATAGCTCCGGGCCCTGAGAATCAAGAAAGGAAAAAATGTATAAAGAGCAGGAAAACAAAGAGGCTCGCAGACCTTGGGCTGAGGACTCTGGATTGCCTGGGTTCGAATCCTGCCCGGGCTGTGTAACCTGGGGCACGCTGAATCTTGATCGCCTTCATCTCCTCATCTGAATGTTGGGGATGGTAACTGTGGGAGACCCTTTTTGAGTCTTGGTTGCCCAAAATCTGTCTCATTGCCTTTGGTCACAGTGCTTCAGCTTTTTTTTTGGGGGGGGACTGACCTCTGCCCAGCGGTTGCAGTCTGCTGGGCCTGCCAATGACGGGGTCCTGCCCACCCCACTAAGTGGTCAGATATGTGGCCCGGAAAGTCAGCTACACATCTCCTACGATTTTAAACTCAAACGCAATGAATTTTTTTAAGGGCTCATTCTTAACAGCCACAGTATCCTGACAATACGACAAGGAATCTTGCTGCCCAGCCTCCTGGTCTGGTTGCTGCCTGTGTCTGAAGCAGTTCCTCGCCCTTGCTGGCAGTTTTCTAAGCCATCTTATATTTGTTTCTTTGTGCTACGTCAGCCTAAGTCATTCAGCACCAACGGTGCCAAGCGGCACTGCCACGCAGGCCAAACGAACTGGTGCGGATCAGGTGGCCGGCACAAGGCCTCTGCCTAATGTACGTTCAGTAAAAGAAGCTGCTACTGTCACCGTTGTCACTGTCACCATGTGTCAGGGTTCTGGAGGAGCCTGCTTTGGACAAAAAGTGGCCATGACTCTCAGACGTGGGCATGAGGCGTTCTGTACGTACCAGGGTGGATCTTTCTGAGCAGAGAAACGCTCTTGTGAACACGTGCTGGGGGTCTGCCCAAGGAATGAGGCCCGCAGGTCAGCAGCGCTGGAGAGAATCAGGGCTCTCCTGCTCAGCCAGCGTTCCCAGCCTGGCTGCACCTTGTTCAAAACTATGAAAGGCTGCTTCTCAGACCTCTTAAATCAGAGGCTGGGATCTAAGAATCTATAATATTTAAACCAGCCCCTCGGGTGATGATGCCCAGTCACATTTTGGAGCGGCTGCCTTAGGCCACCCACAGCCACTGACCAAGGGTGTTTCTGAGGCATGAAGAGGGACAGACTCCCACAGTGAGCTGGGCCAGGAGTCCCGGTTCTGGCCTGTCTCTCCAGGATCACCCTGGCTCTCGTGGAAAAGGGAGTGTCCACCCCGCCAAGACTCTCCACTCCCCAGAAGGGACCCAGCACCCATCCCAAGGAGAAAGCCTTCTCAAGTGAGGTTGAAGACGCGCGGTACCTTTCCGCCCGGAACCTGCCCGGAAATGTGATTGTGTCTTTGGCACCAGCCTCCCCCATCACCGTTACCATGATGGGAACCCTCTCCAAAGAAGGAGGAGACTGTAGCCAGTAAGGCAGAGAGAACACTTGCTCTTATATACTAGAGGTGGCAGTCAAGCTAGCACATGTGGAAATGCCTTTGGCATTTTTTTAGAAGTGCAGTCAATAAAGCGCAGTTCTGTCCAGAATGAGGGCGTGAACAGCCAGACGGACACTGTGCAGGCATTGCCAGTAGACGGAACCACAGCAAACGTGCTCGCTGTCCTCGCCTGCCTACAACGCTCGGAGAGTTTGCCCGTGAGTTGCTCTTCACAGGAACACCGGGCTCGGGGGTGCCATCTCCGGCCCCCTGAATGCCCTCCGAACGGAGGGTTTTCTGTGCTGTGAAACACATGGAACTTATGCTTTGCCATGTGTGACCGTTCCTGCAATTGACAGTGTGTGGAACCTGGAAGGGTATGGTCTTTGGGTGTTCTCAGGGGCCAGTGGTAGTTTTTGGGTTGGGGACCCAGCTTGGCATGGGGAGTTTTTCCTGGGCTTCCACGCTTTAACTACAGAAACATTCATCTGTATCTCTATGTCCTGCCAAAGACCAACAGTCTTAGTCTTATTATACCCCACAAAGGTTCTAAATGTGAGTTTACTTGGATTGCAGTAGACCATTGGTCATTCATATATTTAAATAAAATGGTCTATGAACTAAAAACAAAAAACACACATACAAAAAAAGAAAAGAAAGGGGAGTGTTCAGTATGGACCCACATGCCTGACTAGAGGAAGGTCTTGAATGATGGGCTGTCTTGTCCCCATCTTGCTCCCACCACAAAGGTGAGCCCAGCAGGGCAAGGCTGGGGGTGTGGATGGCAGTTGGCTGGGTTCTTAGGGGAGCAGTGCACAAGCCAGCCCTGGGTTTCCCCTTTCCCTAGGGGCATAGTCAATTACCCAACTCAGGGTCGATGGTGCAGAGTTCACTCATTCACTTAGCAGCGACTGCCAGGTGCTACGTGCGGGGACACGGAGATGAGTGAGAGCTGCATCGCTCCTGTGGTCAGAGGAGTCCAGGGAGAGACAGAGATACCAACACAAGGTCGCACAAATAAATACGTACTTACAGGCCGTGCTAAGTGCCAGGCAGGAAGATGGGACAGGGATGGGGAGACTGGCCCTACTCTTGGTGGCCTGGTTAAAGTTTCTGGAAGACATGAATTTCCAGGTGGGGCCTGGCAGACGGGTGGGCATCAGCAGCCAGAGATCAGGGCGAGGAGGGTTTCAGGCAGAAAGAGCCCCTTGCGCAGCGGCTGGGGCTGGGAAAGGGCCCAGCACTTTTAAAGCATGGAGAGGAGGTCTGTGTGGCAGGCGTGCAGGGAGCCGGCCCAGGAGGGGAGGGACAGGCAGAGGCCGAGGCGCACAGGGCCTCCAAGGCCTCCAAGGCCTCCGGGGATGCTAAGGAGCTGGTCTTTTCCCCATGAGCTGGGAAACTGCTGCAGGGCAGGAGCGACTGGCTGGAAAGGGCTGAAAGAGAACTACAAGAGCTGCGGGGTGCAGTGTGTGTGTGTGTGTGTGTGTGTGTGTGTGTGAGAGAGAGAGAGAGAGAGAGAGAGAGGGAGAGGGAGAGAGGAAGGGTGTCCTGGAAGGCTTTCAGGTTTTGCAGTCAGCTGGCAAGTTGTTCTGCATGGAAAGACTCCCACACTCTACATGGAGGGAGGCAAGAGAAACCTGAAAGATGGCCAACAGATTTTCACTGCCTTCCTATGTCAGAGTCCCTTACGGGGCCACCAATGGCCTGTCAGGTAGGTTCTTCCTGCTTTTCATTTAATGTAGCTTCGGGGTCAATAACAATACGGCTACTTCCTTCTGCTGGGCACTCCTGTCAAACCCTTTTCTTTCTGTGTAAATTCTATCTCACCAATCTTTCCCCATCTCTTCTGGGAAGCCTTCCCTGATGTCCACTGTTGCATGAACGCCTCCCTTCCCTGCTTGCCCACAGTTCTCTGACTTCCCTTGTAGCTCTGACTTGAAGTCATGATGCTTGTAATTTAGTCCACTGAACCCAGGGCAGCCTCCTCAGAGGAGAACCATGTCCCTGCTTGACTCACCTGTCTTCCCTACAAGCTTGGTCCCTGCCTGCCAAGTCTGCAGACCCACTGGGGAGGGCTCACCTGAGAGGGTGTCTGGGGGTGTGAGCTTGTCAGCTGCATCATAGTATTCCTCATCCGAGCTGCCATCCTCATAGGCAGGAGCCAGGGCTTCCAGCGTGGAGCGGGGCTGGGTCTCAGTCCAGCTCGGCTGGCCCTGCCGGGAAGCTGCACTGTCTGAGCTGTCGCTCAGGTAACTGGCCGGGGAGAGACTGGAGCACAGGCTGTAGTAGTCGGCTTGGCTGCCCTCATACAGCCTGGGGTCCAGCCTGATGGCGCTCAGCTCTGGTGCCCAGATGAATGTCCCCGGAGCTGGACTCTCAGAAAGCTCCATCTTCCGGGACTGAGGGCTGGCTCGTTGGGCCAGGTCCAGGAGACAGAGGAAGCCACTGGTTTCAGTCCCATCCCTCTCCTCCTGGCCATCAGCATTCACGCTCTCTGGGAAGCCAGGCGAGCCAAAGTGGAAGAAGCCGGACCTGCTGGAGGAGCAGGCATCCAAGTCATCCTCCTCCAGGGCGTCCATGGACTCGCTGGAGCCGCTGGTTCTGCAGCCCCGGCTCTCGGTGTTGGCTGAGTCGGACGCCTCAGACTCGGCGCTGTCCGTCATGCTGCTGGCCCCGCAGGTGCTCGGGCATCTCCTGGCCATGCTGGGCGTGTGCTTGTCCCCCGGAGGCTGCTCCTCTCGTGCGAGTGGTGTGCAGGGGCCCAGCTTCGGCAGGCACTGGTCAGGCAGAGGCTCCAGCGTGCAGTCCACTTCGGAGGACTCCTCCGAGTCACTGCACACCCTGGACTCATAGCCTGCAACACAGGGCACACGGAGGGTTACAAAGTGGCCTTTGGGGACTGGCAGACGCCTAGGTATCCTCCTGCTGCCATGCTGCTGGCCTTCTAGTTTTGCAGATTAGAAAACTGAGGGACAGGAGGGCGGCTGGCCCAGATCACACTATAGTGACCGACACGGGTTCCATGGAACCCCAAACATCCCCCCAACATCCGGCCTCCTTCCCCACATCTGTCTGAACCATGCAATGGAGACGGGATCACCTCCATCCCTACTTCCATGGAGAACCACCTGTCCCCATAAGTACCCCCTGGTGGGTATTCATTTAACTGGATCTCACTTTGCTCTGGGCTGTATCCCCCAGCTTTCTAACCCCCTCACCAAATCTCAGCCCTGTCTTGTCTGGGATCAAAACCAGATGGGGAATCATTTTAAAATACAAAACAGTTCCTTGACCCTACCTCTGATGTACTGAGTCAAATACCCAGGCAGCGAGGCCTGAGGATCTGTACTTTAGCACCTTTAAGGGCGATCCGGAGGCTCCCAGGCTGGCACCTTTCCGAAGCCCGGTCTCGGGCCCCCTGGCTCTACGGGTACTCGGGCAGGACCCATGGAGAGAAGGCTGGGAGCACTCAGCCCAGTCTCCAGTCTCTCCTCCACCATAAGCCTGCAGGGCGATCTTCCTAAAAACTTCTTTCTGACCCACATCACACTCTGCCTAAACCTTCTGTCGGCCTCCCCTGCCTACAGGGAAGAACCTAAGCTCTCCCACAAGAGCTAAGGCCTCCTAAGACCCCCGACCCCTCCTTCGGAGTCTGATCGCTGCTGTGGCCTTCCCACGCTCCAGCCACTGCAGAGCGCTCCTCTCTGCTCTTGCCCTTGCCCTTTCTGTCAACCCTCCACGTCGTCCCCTCTGCTTCCCATGATCTCTCCTCCCCTCTTCATTTGGCCTCCTCCAGCACGTTCTTCAAGATCTGTTTCAAATGCCTCCCCCTCCGGCATCTCCTCTGACCACTGCCGCCTGCCCTGGCAGGAGCGGCCCCTCCTGCCATCAGGCCTCCATGGTAACAGGGCTCCCCTCTGCCCACCTCCCCGACGGGGCACAGAGGTTCATCAAGGTCACCCCTTGTTCATCCATCGTGGTAAAGACAAACTTAACAGATGCGCAACACGCATCACTGCCTGATCACTTTACTTACTATCATCTAGGCTCTGAGATTACTTCTGTCTATTTTGCCCACGTGGAGAAAACACTACATACTGATATGCAATGAGCATCTCTCCCCGTCTCCACACTTGACGACAGCACGCTGGTAGCTTGAAGTTAGCCCTGGGGCAGGAGAGTTTGTGCCGTGAAAATAGACCATTGCTTCTAATCAGGGTTCTGTTTGTTTATTTATTTAACTTTGCCCTTTTGGTGCCCCCCACCCCCAGCAGAGATAGTTGTTAAAGATTTAACGGAAAACCACAGGGGAAATGCTGCATCCGCAGTGCCGAAGCGAAAGCCTGACAGCAGCTGGGAGCTGGGCCTGGAAAACCGTTCACCTCGCCTGGCCTCTGCTACTCCCGTCCTCGTGTGACGGGATTCCCAGTCCCTGCTACATGTTTAGAGGTGCCCTTTCTTCTAAATAAGTAAGGCTGCGAACGTCTGTTACAATTCAAGAGAATGCAAAAGTGTACATAGGCATGGAGTGAGAAACTAGGTCATCTGTACTTTAAAAAAAAAGGATTTGAGAGGGAGAGAGGAAGGGGCAGGGGAGAGAGAGAGAGATTAATTTGTTGTTCTGCTTATTGATGCATTCATTGGTTGCTTCTCCTGTGTGCCCTGACCAGGGATCAAACCCACAACCTTGGCCTAGGGGGACAAAACTTTAACCAGCTGAGTTGCCTGGCCAGGGCCAGTCATCTGTACTGAACAAAACTGAGATCTCTTTTTGCTGGCAAATAAAGACAAAATACAATGGATCTTAGAGATGATTTCAGGAAATTCTACAGGGAATCAGAGACGTTCTATGGTTTTAGGGACTCTCAGGTACTGAGAAAGCTTCTCTATTTAGGATTTGGGGAAGATCAACTGTTTACCAGGAAATAAGTGGAGAAACAGCTCTCTTGGACTTCACCGGAAGTCTCGGCTCCACTCATCCACCACCTCCCTTCAGGCTGCCCTTACCCACGAGGCCGTGAAATGGGCCCGTCCTGGCCGTGGCAAACCTCAGTGCCTCACCTTCTTCAGCAGATACTCGGTGCACCTGTTGTTTGTTCATTGGCCAGAGGAAAACAGAGTTAACTGGGTCAACGAACAGCCTGTAGTACCCAGCGATCAGGCAGGCGAGGTCTTTTGCACTGTTGGATTCCAGCAGCAAAGTGAGAACCTTTGAAGGTGAAGAGAGTTTAAGAGCCTATGTGGCGGTATGGGACGATCTGAAGACGGACACAGGGCCTGTGGGGCCCATGAGAGATGGCAAGTAAGTCCAGCTATGGTCCCAGGCAGGTCCTCTGTCCTGTATTCTCACCTATACGACTCGAAGTGAGCGTGTGCATGTGCACGCACACACACAGTGGGTTCCTCCCAGCGAACGTCCACACTGTCTCCTGCCTCTCCATCCCTTACCCCCTGCCCTAGCCCCCCTACCCAACCACCCGCCCCATGCTCATTCAGACGAAGGAGCCCCTTCAAGACACGACCTAGAGAGAGAGTAAGAGCAAAGGGAGAAGGAGGGAGAGGGCGATGAGAATAAAGTTCTCTCCTTGAGCATGTTGGTATTAAAGCAAAGGAAGACAGGAGAAATGCAGGACCTTCAGAGAGGCTCGGGAAATACACTGCATCACTTACCCATTTTCACTGCTGCCACTCAAAACTCCTGGGCAGCCTTTCTGGTCCCATGCCAACTAAGTTTCTGAACCCATCACGAAAGGACACGGACAGGCTCAGTTTATACAATAAAACCTTTTCAGGCCTGCCCGGGAAAATGCACCCGGTTGACCACTTCCCTTTTGACAGGACAGAATGGACAATTCATCTTCTTAAGCAAATGTGGGACATTAGACTGCTATTATCCAAACTCACATAAACTACCCTAAAATCATTTAGCCCCCAATTCCCAGAGCTAGATTTCGGATCTCCTCCGGTGTGTTACCTTGATGTCCTGAAGATACACCTTGACCATGCTCACTTTCTCAGACTCTTCTGTCAGCTCGACACGGCTGATGCTGGCAAACTCTGCCAACGTGGACATGATGTTGAGTTTGCTGTTGATGATTTGGCTAATCCCATACTTGGCTCCAACTAGAAGGCCAACGTAGGACTCTCTGTCCTGTAACTGCAGAAGGGCAGAGGAAGGGTTAGTCTCCCTTCACCAGTGGAACTGCATTGCACGTGTCAGACGCGACGCCTCTCCCCGCACACTCCCCGATTCTTCTATCAGGTCGCTGTCTCCGCTCCCTAGACGACCAAGCTAGGCCGTAGCCCGATTGGCCCCATTACAGCTAAACTGAGTGTAAATTCATCTCCCTTAATCCCCTCATAATAGGGAGCCAGACCAGGCTGCTGCACAACCTGCACTTTCCCACCAAGGTGCTCTCTCACTCCTCTAGAAATCCCTTGCCTGCCATCATGCCTGCGGAAGTCCTGACCCTCCTTTAAAAGCTTCCATCAAAACCTACTGCAAACATCTACTAATAATGCCTGCCTCACCTCTGTCTGCTCAGACCAGAAGAGTCCTTCCCTCTGTGTTATTTCCACGCTACTTCCTCTGTACCTCTCACAGAGCACTGAGCTGTGACTTCGTATTGTAATTATTTGTATCCAAGTGTCGTGTTGCCTGCCAAGTCCCCTGATGACAGGCTGTATTTATCTACGTTTGCAACGCCGGAGCCCAGCAAACACCCCGAGCCAGTCTGACATGGTTGGCTTCTTCTCTCGTTCTACTTCTTTCCTGAGACAGGAAAGGTACAGGGGGACCGGGGACAGCTGGGAGAGGGCAGGACTGGCCCTCGGGAAAAGTGGGAAGCATTTCTTCTACCTCCAAGCCTTCCTTTCTGTGATCTGGTCTCTTTTCCACCTTTTGGTCATCTATGCACACAAGAGACCATCTAGTTTTCCTTTCCACTATCTGATTGCTCTCCCTTGCTCTCAAAACACTGATTATCTTTTTCCATCTATATTGTTAGGTCAGCAATCTGATGAAATTGACCCATCACTGTAAATGACTGCGAGACACACCAAATCCACTGAAAGAAGATTTGTTAATATTAAAAAAAATCTCTAATTGGTAAGTTGTCTGGCTTTGTGCTGGAGAGTTCTGGGGCTGGATGAGTGGAGGGGAGAGTTCCCTTAAGCCACACCCCCCATAACTGACAGCTGGAAAGCACAGAGCTCTAGGCTGGGGCTCCAAGAGGGAAGCCTGAGGAGGCATGAGGGTTCCTTTGCTTCTCTTTTCCCTTCTCAGACCCACCTCCCAGTTCTACCTTTCTTCTGAACCATCAGGGCCCCATCCTGTCAGTCAAACTGTCTTATCTTTCCTTCTCGATCTCCACGTTTTCTTCTTCCCCTTCCTATTCCCAAAGCTCCAGAGTAAATAGCTTACAGCACCCTTCCCTGAAAATGCCTCTCCTGTATCCAGAAATGTGGCTGAATCCAATCTTCTTGCCTTTCCTTAACCCCTTCCCCTTCCATTCTTGACCTGATGCTCGTACCTCTGCTTCAAACTCCACAGCAATAGCCCTGTGCACCTCTCATGGCTCTGCTTTGTCTGGTTGGCTACTTTGTTCAATGATCTGAGGGTAGAAGTCCTGTCTTATCCAGCTCTGCCTCCCCCAGCACCCACCAGAGGGCCAGCACAAAGCAAGGACATCATAAACACTCCCCAGTGGCATGATGTTTAGTTTCCCAAACAAGTTCTAGTACATGACAGAGTTCTCAAGAATTTTAGGTGGAAGATTCACTGATCTTCAGAAAACGTCTAAGGTCCCTTACAAGAGTGGGATTCTACAGTCCCCTCATACGTACCATTAAAGTAGCATTAAAGATTTTCCCACCATACATCTTGAGTTCCCCAAGGATCTGTAGGTAATTTAAACGTAGCTGGGCAGCAGAAATAAGTTGCTTAAATAGGAAAAAAAAAAAGACTTAAGTTAGAGTCATTCACTTGCCTAAACTCAAGGCAACGCTGCCGATGCAGCCCCTGAGGCCTCACAGTGACAGCTGGCGGGTGGGTTGGCGGGGCCGTGGCTACGTTACCTTCTGTCGAGGTTCCAGCAAGTTTTGGTTCCGCTTCATGTGGAAGCTTATGGCTTTCTTGATGTCTTTGCCTTTCATGTTTCGGAGTAAAGTGGGAGATATAAAGTTCTCTATTCCCCAGTCTTTCCTGCCATGAGACATTGGAGACAAGGAGGCCCCTTTTCACAGTGTACTTGGTGGCTCTAGTGAAGAGCATAACGACATTGGATTCCGTACTTCGTGTCCCCAGAATATTGCAGCCGAGCCTCTTTCTCAACAGAAGGTACATACATAGGTACATACGCATGTGTATAAATCTATATTTTATAGAAGTATATTATGATATTAATTATATTTTATATGTGATATATTTATATAAAATATAATACATAAATTTATATATATGATTGTATATATTTCTTCTCCCCACCCCAACATACACAAAACACCCACAGCCACCCAGAAATTAAGCCACACCGATCTTCCTGGGAGCTCACCACTCCTGGTGTGGTGTGATAGTCTGTTTGGCAGAGCAGGAGACCTCCATCTTTTTTACTGCAATGTACATGACAAATCACGATCACACATGTGTGACACACTCTTACGGGGCCAGGCTTTGGATGGTGCAGGTCTAAGAGCCTCAAAGCCCCCAACAAATATAAAAAATACAATTTCTCATGTTCCACTCTGTAGAGATTTGACCCAGTACCTCAGGGACAGGGCCCAGGATCTGTTTTATTTTTATTTATTTCTCTCTTTTTTTTTAATTGTATTTTTCATTTTGATGCCCAGGCAGGGCACAGAGCTGAGATTTGGTGGGGGGTTAGCCAACCTGGGTGATGCTGCCAAGAACAAAGTGAAATTTTAAGCAAAGAATCAGGTGGTGTTGGAATCCCAGGACTTGAAGCTGCCTTAATAGAAATATAATGCGACGTTACTAATTTCCAAGGCGTCCCTGCCCTTATCAGAACTCGTCGTGGAAGTTATACGATTTCCCAAGACATTCTCCCAGGAAATGAGAACTTACAAAGGGATCCTGCGTCATTCCTTTTGGACTTGGCTTCTGCCCCAGAGGGAGCAGCCAGATTTTGACATCTTGGGAAGCCCTGCTGGGTCCGAGAGGGTGGAGAGGAAAATGGGTAGAAAGACAATGGACCGATACCTAGGGAGGTGGATATCAGCTCTCTACGGAATCTGGCCGTTCTGGCCAAGGGCCAGTCAAATTATCAATGCAGCACAGCTGCTGCTGATGGGTCACAGAAGGTCCCTGCCACTCACTCTATGTACTTCAAAGAGATCTTCTGCGGCTGCGCGCATGCGTAGATCCGCTCCTGGATGTGCAGGGCCGCGAGGCGGAGCGCAGCGCTGCATTTCATTTCCACCGCAAAGCGCTCCTGGAGCACATCGCTGCAGCTCTAGAAGAGATCAGATCAGAGGAATTGGGAGACAGAAACAACAGATGGACTGTGTTCCTCCTTCTCTCCAGGGAACGGCAGCAGGACCAGGAGCTCAGCGTTGAGACCTGGTTCCGCCGAGTCTAGGCTGCGTGACCTTGGCTAAGTTACTACGACTCTCTGAGCATCGCTGTTCTTCCCATTGCTCAAAGAGCCTAGTCAGGCCTACCTCACGTGGTATCTGTAAGGTTTAATTTAGGTAATGCCTATGAAAGCAGGTATGAGGGACACAGTATTATACAAATATAAAGCAGTGCTGTCATTATTTGCTAAGACTTGGGGCAAATCAATCCACCTAGTTTGAGTTAGCTCACCTGTACAGTGTTGATGCCTCCTAATGATCCTTTTTCACCCGAATAAAAATGACATAAGAATTCTCATTTAAAGGAGAGAGAGCAACAGGCTGCAGGGACCAAGGTAGCTATTTTTGGCTCTGTCTCTAAATGGGTGACCCAGGCAAATCATGTGACCTTGCCAAGACTCAGTTTCATCATTTCTGAAGAAAGCCTGGGAGCCCTAAAGCCCCTTTTATCCATGAAAACTGCAACTCTAAATATCTTAAATGGTATTAGGAAACGTATCATCTACATCAAGGACTAAGCCTGAATTTCATTAACACATCACTAATCTCCTGACCTAGCAACTCCATGACAGAAAAGGAATTCTGAGGGGATGTTCAGGCCCATTCTCCTTCAGATAAAGCTGACCCCTGCCAGGGAGCTGCTTAAGCGCCTGGAGCTCCTGTTCAAAAATGAGGCAGCGTGTCATCTCTGAGAACAGCCACTGTTCTTTCAGGAAGCGCAGACCCAGTCACCTGCAGATAGAGGTATTCGAAGGCCACGGGGTCTTCTTTCAGGAGGTCCAGAGGGTCCTTGGGAACAAAACACACCCTGAAGAGGCAGCGGCAGTCATGTGATTCCTCCCTTTCTACCACCTGCGATGGGTAAGGGAGATGCTGTTAATCTTATCTACCTTTGTTCTTCCAGGTATTCCACAAAACAGAACAAAGACGATGAAAGATGGTCCCCGGGGATTGCAGTTTGAGTGCTTCCCAAGACAGCCAGACCCTTGCTCCTAATTTGACTTGCCCATGGGTATAAAATGTAAAAAGCTCAAAAGAGCAAAGTTTCCCACTGACTCCATCAAACCTGTTCCCCTTTCCAGAAGAAATTTCTGGAAAGAACTCTCCAGTGTCTTACACACCCTCCCACAAAGAGTCTACGTGTATATAGATGTACTTCTATACCAAATATTCCTTTCTGTCCCTCAAATGACAGGATAGGATACATTATATATATTCTGTACCTTACTTTTTTTCACTTCAACTATCTTAGCAACTGAATTAGATTTTCTATTTCAATGCTAATAGGATAGAAATAATTTTTAAACAATGTTTGCAGGCTGCAGTGTTAGAAGGTGGTGATGAAGGTAAGAGCCCATCTGCAATGGGAAATGCTCAGAGAGGCTTCCATGAGGTCACGCCTTGCTCCTGCTGTCACCCTGCTTCAAAAGCCCCTTCTCCTTTTCCAAGTGTGGAAATCCCGCTCATCTTTGTATCAGTGCACCCTCCACAAGGATTCGCTGAACTGACCCGTGTCTGGCTTTAAAGAGCTGGTACCACAGATCACTGATGGCCGAAAGACTGAGAGGTACAGAGGGACTGACTGTGCTTGTTCTGTCCTGCCTTCCGCGGCCAGCTCAGGGGATAAGCCTCACAGAAAGGGCTTAGACACAGCAACAAATGCTCCCCGGGCACCTCAAAGGCAGCAGGTTCAGGGGAAGACCATCAGAGCTGGAAGCGAAGGATGGGGTTCTGTTGGTTGTGTGACCTTGAGTAAGTCCCCTTACCTCTCTAAGGCTCTGTCTTCGCATCTGCAAAACGGGGCCCTGCCTACCTCATATGAAAATCAGGCCTGATTCTAGTCCTATCATCCTCAGGCTGAGTGAGCTCTGTGCCTTCTTGGCACAAGGAGGTGCATGAAACCTGCAGATGCACTGAGCCCTGCACCCCAAAGTCCTGGCTGAGGCATGCAGCTTGCCCGGCCCGGGCCTCCTCGCCCGGAGCAGGGGCCCCGTGTACCTGCTGGATGAGCTCCTCCTCGTGCAGCAGGTGCAGCCGCGAGACGTTGCACTGCTCTTCCAGGACCAGCGCAAAGTACTCTGTACTCCGGATTGACAGCTTCTCCTTCACCGTGAGGATGATGTCCTGCCAGGCACAGAGAGGCAGGTGGGTCACCTGAGGAGCAGCTGGCCCTCACGCTCCCCGACCTTTTCTCTGCTCCTGGGGCAGCTGCGGAGAGAAGCCTGTGCCCCTTGGGTCCAGTGCCAGCTCAGGCAGCCAAATGTTGACAGGCCATGCGTGGGACTTGTCATGGCCCTTCATGGCCCTGCACCCACTCCTCGGGGCTCCAGTGCTACCCGTACGGCTCTCCTTTCTTGCTTTACTTGGAAGACTGGAGCTACCCTCTGGGGGCTAATACCTCTTGTCAGGGTCTCTGGATTCATCCTCTGTCTGGAGTCCCCATCTTCAACTGCTCACCAGATAGAGTCCCACCCCCCGCCTGCAATGTGACTGTGAAAAATTAACCGGTTTCTTCTTGAGAAACGGAGGACAGCAACGCCTGTCTGGAGCTGCCGACAGGATGGAGTGACTGACACCGTGCCACTAGAGCTGCTCTGCCCCGGTCCCCGGGTCCGCTCCCCGGGTCTGCTCCAGCGGCCCCGTGTCATCGCACGGTCTTGGCTGCCTCAGGGGGCTTCACAGTGTTCCCCGGGCCTGGCACTCTTTCCCCAGGACTCTTCACAAGGTGGTTTCTTTGTCTTCAGAGAGGCCTTCTCTGGTCACTGCATCTAAATGTGATCGGCCCCCGTCATTCCCGGGCCCAGGGTCCTGTTTATTTCCCTCGTCACTCCTTAATGCTATTTCCTCCAACAGAAGCCATGTTCTTCGGTGAGAGGCAGTCTAGGAAAGTGAAGTGAATGGGTTTCACAAGTGGACTGCCACTTTCCAGCTGTGAGTCCCAGACAAACTGCTTCCTCTCTATGCCTCCCGTTTCCATCTGTAAAGTGGTAATGACAGTAACACCTACCTCACAGGTCGTGTGTACGTTCATGTCCCATATAAGGCACTGAGGACAGTACCTGGCAGATGGCAAGGGGTCACTACAAGCTAGCTGCTGAGATTTGTTTTCTTGCTGATTGCCTCTCACCCCACTAGATGGTAAACTCCCCGAGAACACGAGCCCAGCCTGCCTCGTGCTCGGTCACATCCCCAAAGCTTGGCGTGCAGGGGTGCTCATAAACTTTCACCTGAGGAGTGACCATCCTCAAACTCACCGCAGACCGCCTGCCAGAACCTCAGATTTAGTAAGTGTCAGGCCATAGGGGCTACCTGTTCCTGACGACTCCCAGTTCAGAGTGCCCTTCCACCTGTTCCATCACTGTCCATGGTAACGAGGGACTCAGTGCTGAACAGCCTCTCTGCTTCTGTAACTCAGCAACGGTCATTCAGTGCCCACTGTGAGCTGGCCATGACGGGCCCCTGTGTCTTCACCCTGTCCCCTCTCTCCATTCTCCCGCCTTCATCTTGGCTTGAGCTCACACACTTCTCCTGGCTTCGTACAGTAGAATCCTAAGGACCCCCCTGCTACCCATCCATCCTCTGCCTTGCACCTGTAGCAGGGGCTGACAAACCACAGCCGGTAGGTCAAGTGCAGCCCACTGCTTGTTTTTGTAATTAAAGTTCTATGGGAACACAGCCGTGCCCATCTGGTACAATGCAGAACTGAGGAAGTGTGACAGAGACCCTGTGGCCTGCAAAACCTATAATATTTACTATCAGGCATGTTACAGAAAAAGTTTGCTGAGCCCTGATGCACAGGAACTTGTCTAAGCCTTGCCCTGGTCACACTCTCCCTTACCTGAGAACACTGAGTGGCTTCCCCTGGCTCACCAGCCCAAAAAGCAAACTCCTCAGCTTCGTGTTCAAGGTTCTCAAGCATCAGGTGCCGGTCCATTTCTCCCACTTTATCTCCTGCACCCTGCTCGCAAGCCCCATGCGCCTGTCAAACTTCCCCATATATGGGTGCTGTCTTCACGCCCCTCTCCTGTCGAAAGCCCACCCATTTTTCCAAGCCTGCCTTGTAGGCCACCGCTCCCCAGGGGCCTTTCCTAGCCACCAGCTGGAAGAGCTCTCTTCCCAGAACAACACCGTTTTCATGTCCCCCTGCTGTGGTCCTGAGTACACTGTACCTTTCCCGGGTTCACAGTGAGTTATCGCCCGGTCTCATCTTTAACCCCCAGCCCTGCCCTGCGCCAGGAGTCTGGCTCCCTGAGGGTGTGACCCGGGCAGTTTTGTCTGTCTCTCCAACACTTTGCTGACACACAAAAAGTGTCAGCAAATGTTGGCTGGGTCAAATGACATGTTATTTCCCTTGATGTAGAGAAAGAGGGTTTTCTTTTTTTTTAACATTAAAATTTGTTTGGTTTCTTTTTTATTATTTTTTTTCAGGTAAAGTTCACATTCAATATTATTTTGTATTAGTTTCCAGAGAAAGAGGAATTTTCTTACATAAAAACTTTGCTTTTACATAAGTACTTTGCTTCCTTTGGTAAGGGAGCAAGGAAGAGAAAAGTCTCCGATGAACAGACTGATCCCTTTTTTTTATAACCCATAAGGTGTGTTTATATCCCCTCTCTCTGCCGTAAAGAGCTAAGAGATTTGCTTCAGTTTTCACCACCGCAGGTAAGTAAGATTAACCAGTGTTATACCAACTCATTGCCAGCTCATTTTCCCCAACTTTATCTATCCTCTCGGGTTTAATTCCCCTGTGGTGTGTGCTTTTATTATAAATCAAAGTGTTCTGGCCACCAAAGGGGGAACCCACTGTAAACCAATCACCCCTTCCGTTCCAATGCACTTGGGTTAAGGATAACACAAGCAGAAACCCTGTGTGATTCATCCACAGAACTTCCCTTTTATGCAGAACGGCAGTGTGGCCAGCTCCAGTACAGGGTTCAGGCACAGACCAAATCCGAAGCCAGCTATGAGCTACCTGACCTTGACAAACTTTGGATCTCTTGGGCTTGTGTTCTCATCTGCAAAGTGAGGTTAACACTCACGGCCTCACAGGGTCACTGGGGGCGTTAAATGAGATAGTACACAAGGAAGTGCCAGAAGACTGGTAGTTGATGATGAGCAGATCCGTTCCTCCATCCCTTCCCTTCTCTGGGCCTGGGCTTCCCAGGTTCCCTGAGAAGCTTCCTCCAGCTGCTCCTGAGTGACACTAAGGTTACGATACGATGGGGCATCTGAAGCAGCTCTAGAAATGGTAAAGGAGGGTGCCGGAGAGGGACACCGGCTGTGTGCATTGTGTATGTGCATGCATGTATGTGCACATGTGTTGGTGCATGTACACGTGTGTCTGTGTGTGTCTTAGCTACTGTCCATTACCTATAGCCACTTGACCCACCTGAACCTGGCCGAGAAGAGCCGGGCTCAGTGTTCACTCTGACACTGTTTTCAGTGTTTGAGCAACATTCGTTTTTGCTTCTTTCTGGAAGCCTCACTCTGATACTATTTACTCCCTTCCTCAGAAACTAGAGGCCATCCCTTATTGTCCATGGATGGAATCCAAGCTCTGCTGCCTGTCATTTGAGGCCCCGCCCACTCCTCCCACAAGGAAATGGCCTGAGCTCCAGCCCTGCTGATGGTTTGCTACTTCCTGGGCAAGGCCCATCTGCCTGGCTCTCTGCTCTGCTCACGTGACTCCCCGAGACTGACGTGCACCCTCCAACCCTCCAACAGCCCTGTTCCCACCTGCCCTTGTTGAATTCTTTGTTGCCCTTCAAAGCTCAGCTGACACCCAACTTCTTTCTGAAGCCTTCTCTGACGTCCTTATGGGATGAAATAGATGGTACTCTTACCCTTGTGCACAGAGAACGTCCTTGTCCCTCTCTTCACAGCCCTAATTCATCCTGCCCTGGACTATTGGGAGCTCCTGGAATGTCCATCCTCCCCCAGCTAGGCTGTAAGCCCCTGGAAGACAGTGTCCACTCTTTACCTAGCTTTCTACCCCACTCCCTGCCCAGAGCATCTGGTCTGAGAAAACTTAAGTGCAACTAATGTCATTTCTGAACAGAATATGCAGAGGCCTGGCCCTGCCCTGACCCTCACCTGGGTTTTTAGCTGCTTTAGTCTTTCAGGTAGCAGGTGTGGGGGTCAGGGAAGTCCTGGGGTGAAGGGTGAAAGCTTATGAATTGTAATATGACCTCGGGCAAGTCACTTCACCTCTCTGGGCTTTGATTTCCTCCCCGGCAAGATGGTGATAAAATCTTGCAGGGTGGCTGTGCAAATGAGTAAGAAAGCACAGCGCTCGGCTTACTGGAGGTGTTTGGACTGTGGTCGTCATGAGACCACCAAGGCAGCTACAGGGCTAGATGCCAGGGGTCCTAGGAGCCAGCAAGTTCTCACTGCAGAAGAGATTCAAGTTTGCTCTTGATACCTTTACGGTTGTGTCTGCCTCAAACTTGAACGCTTTGGTCTGTCCATTCTCCAAGTACACCTTGAGCACGTTGGGCATACACAGCAGAGAATTTCCCTGGAAAACACAAGGGCAGTGCTGAAACTAACCCTTCCCCGCTCCCGGGTGTGACAAACCCTCAGCCTCCTGACCCTGCCTGGTTTGGAGAACGGGACTCCCCATTAAACGTCTCATCAGGCCTCAGGTTGGCCTTGGGAGAGTTCCCGGTGGGCGAGGCCTAGGCCACACAGACAGGCGTGCTTTATTCAAGGGAGAGCCAGTAGGACTGTGAGACGTGGGAGACGGTGGAGAAGAGGCCCCTGCACAGGCGTCCTGAGAGCCCTGCACTGGCCTGTATGTATGATGTCTCAGAATCGTCAGCTGATACCTCCCTGCTGGTTGCCATCCTTAGGGGATGCAAGTGAGCAAGTCAGGTGACAAGCACGTATGCTGTCCCCAACCATGCCCGTGAGGCCGGAGTGAAACCCCATGGCATTTTACTGCTGCATCCCCTGCAGGGAAGCATCACCATGCAGGAAAGCATCACCAAAGGACAGAGGGCCGCCTCCACTCACCCCATATACTCACGGGCCCCCTTAGGGACTCTGCCACTCTTGGAGGGCTTTTGGGGAAGGAGGCAGAGGCCCGGCCTGTGTTTGGTGACCCCACGCCAGCCAGAATTCCCGAGGCGAAGCAGGGCAGGGAAACATTCCCTTTGGGTTTGGAGAATCCCCCACCGGCCACCCTGGGGCCAGTCTCATAACAAGTGACCTCCGAGTGTGCAGTGCAAGGAAAGAATGCTCCCGGGGCTGGGGTCCTTCAGAACCAGCAAGAGGTTCTAGAGTGGCTGAGATCCAAACTAGAATCAGTCTTGTTAGCGGGTTCTAGCCTTTACTTCCCATTACTGTGTACTACTCTTAAAAACACACGTCAAATCTAAAAGAAGTTTGATCCATTTCCACAAAGGTGGACTCAAATGTTGCTGAATGACAGGATTGCAGGTCTTTTCCGATTAACACGTAGGCCTGCCACTGGCCCCTTCCTGGACAATCCACCTGTCACTCTCAGGTGGAATGAAGGTGTGGTCTGGTAGGTGGCAGGGCATGTGGAACATAAGGGTTCTGCAGATGCGGACCAGATGGCCTGGACCCTTTGCCAAAATGGCCAGGACCCCCCATTTGCTGGTCTCTGTGGTGAGGAAACCAGCTAAGGATAAGATTGAACCTGGAAGTTTCAAAATCTAGTATTAATTGCTGAATTCAGAATGGCAAAAGTTACGGACCATTGAGGGAAACATGTAAAGTATGAATAAGTGTGTCTTTTATTCAGCCACCCACATTAAAAAACTGAACTCTGGCCAATATCTTCTCTATAGATACGACTTCTTCCTCCCACCAGAGAGCTGTCCCGGGCAGAACAAAAGGACGGGCGGAGGACACAAAAACCTGGGCTCCCCTAGTTTCCTGCTATGTAATCTCAGACATTAATTCTCTTAACCTCCTTAATCCTCTGCTTCCTCTTTTGTTAAAATGCCCCCCTGGCAGGGCATTGTGGTGGCTGAGGATTGTGTACCCAAGATGTTTAGGTTCCCACGATAGAGGCTCTTAAAACACAAAAGCCATCCCTCCCAACACCAGCACTGACATCGGAATATCACTTTCAGAGGGACACTGAATTGAAACCTTCAAAACGAGAACTTAAAAGCTGGAGTTTGTTGCAATGTCATGGGCAGGAGGATGGAGTCACTGAAAAACGGAGCCACAGCAGCCCCCCTTGCCTTTCTCTCTCTGGCCCCGCCCACAGCCCCCCCCCCCCCGCCCTGTCCATGGAGGGCTTGCATCTTACGGGGTGCAGGGGGCGGGCCCACAGACCCTCTAGCAAACCTACTGCACTTCCTCTGCAGCCTCTCAGGCTCTGGGATTCCAGAGTCCCAGGGAGCTGCGAGCCAGGAGGTGGCTCACCAGCCTCGCGCAGGGTCCGGTCAGGGTCAGCCCCTGACAGTGACGCACCTGGCTGTGCGTGCCCACCAGCACTTCTTCGGCAAAGTGCACCTTCACGGGGTTGGTCTTCAGCCTGGCTCTCTTCTCCTCGGTCAGGAAAGATGACTTGGGGACTCCCTGCAGAACACCGACATGACACATTTTACGCGGGACTTTCATAAAAGCCACAAACGTCTTCTCACTCTCAAACACAGAAGCAAAAACTCTGACAGCTTTCAGGATTCAATTAACACCCACAGAGAAGGACGACGTCCCATTAGAGATCTCTTCATAACACCTAGAGATCAACACACACAATGTTCTCATGCGTCCAAAAACAGTCGAAGATTCATTCACTACCTCGGCAAAAGGGCTGTGGTCTGATGAAGGCACAGAGAACTGGCCTGTGAACCAGGAGACCTCGGTTCCAGCCCAAGCTCTGCTACTCAGCAGTCGTGAGAACTGCCTCAAATCAAACTCTTACAGAAGAAAACCAGTTCGGTGTGAGTGCGACTCGTGTGTGTGTGTGTGTGTGTGTGTGTGTGTGTGTGTGTGTAAAACAAAGCAAAATAACTCAGCGTGACATTAACTAAGTCACTGACCCTCCTTGGACTTGGGCAGTTGGACCAGACCACCTCCAGGGTTCCCTGAAGCTCTCATCCTTGGGGTTTATCCTTGGCCCCTCTTTGCTCTTCTCATCTTTTGGGTGGGACCTTTGCTTCCCAGAGGTAAAAGAGTCACCACAGGTTGGTATGAGTATGTGGTGAAGCCCTTGACCTCGACTGTATCAGGCTAAATTGTGGCACTTAACGAACAGCAACTTGCATGATGTAGACCAACACGATGTGGTCTTCTCGGGTGGAATCCTGATATGCTATTTCCCGGTCTGACACCCTGTTTCCTTAATCTGCAAAGCCCTTTAGGACTGCCTCGGGGACGTCTGCGTGTGTAAGAGTCCCGAGGCAGGACTCCGGGCCACATTCTGTGTAGCTGAGGGAAGAGATGTGGCATAACAGTCAGGGAATTATGTCCGCAGCCTCAGGTATCAACAGACCGATGGCAGGACGCACATAAATGAACCCGTGGCCCAAACTTTTAAGGCAAGAAGAGGGATATGAATTACAATAACTAGAGCCTTGGTGTGACGGGGTTCATGACTGTGATTCAACGTGTCAAATATATAGTTTGCTTTAAAAAAAAGAGTTGAGTAGAAGGAGGGGGGGAATGGCAGTGTTCCCAGGGAAGAAGTGCACCCTCAACTGGAGAGATCACTTAACCTCAATTTGCTTCCTTATTCAGACAGAATAGTTTTCCAAGAGGAAGAGACAGAAGGAATTAAGGCAAGAGAAAGCTCCAACCTGAAATCAGTGGTGGGACTACCAGACCGCTTTGAATGTATTTGTGCTTTTGAATGTATGAGGCTGTTGGATCTATTATATGTACCAGCTGGCATCACCCACAGGACAGAGAATGGAGAAATATTAGGATACCAAAGATAGTTAAGTATCAAGTTTCCCAGAAAATGAACACAGAAGGTTCAGGAAAACACAATTAGTAACCTTGTTAATTCTCGGCAAAATTTGAGACAAGAGATGGTCAGGGTGCTCTCAGACATCGGTCACCAATAACCAACACGGAGTCCCCAAAACAAGTCAGAGCCAACCGAGTCTGTTTTTCTTTTGAAGATAAGATTCCAGATGGGTAGGCCGAGGTCCCGTGGATATAGTACTCCTTCATTCTTGCAAAATATTTGATAGGGCCTCCTATAATGCCCCTGTGGAGAAGGCTGGGCGCAGAGCCATTAGGTGGACCCCAAACTAGTTGACCTAAACTCAAAAGTGTCCTGATTCCTAACTAAGCAAGTCAGGCCCCCTTTGGCTTCCCTTTGGCTCCCTCAATCTTCGTCAGCGATGTTCAGCAACGCCTTGGGAGAAGTCAGAGAAATGGGACTTCACTAGCCTGTGGGTGATACGGAGCCACAAGCTGTCATCAGATCTCAGGCAGCAAAACAATGAGAGGAGAGGGAAAGGGACTGGGAATCTTAAAAAGAGATAATGGAAACCTGAGGACCAGAGGCAGCCAGGTCAGAGGCCAGGCAACCACCAAGAACACACATAAGAGGGTGCAGGGGGGCAGGGCTGTCAAGAGCTGAAGGAAACAGAGTAAGTGAAGGGTCAAAACAATAGGCACAACCACTGCCGCCCTAAAGACTCAAGGAACGAGAAGCCAAAGGCAGAACAAGGGGGGACGCGGAGAGAAAAGGAATACAGGGAGGCAACGACTATGATCTCTCACCCCAGGGAAAGCAGTTCTGGAAGAGTTAGACCCAGAGCTGGACCAGGTTAAAGAAACCCCACTGGCTGGACGATGGCAGAAGGGGAGGAGACTTGGGAAGAGACGGTTCCCTGACAGGAAGTGAGAATGACTGTGGCTGATGACCGTACGAACGAGCCACAGCCCCCTGACTAAATCTCAGCGCACCAGAACACGGGCCGAAGCAATGCAATGAACGGAAGTGCAGTTGCCGAGGATGGAAAAAATCAATTGCGCAGCATGGATGGGGCGGGGGTGGAGGGGCTGGATGAGAAACTATTCATTTGAAAAGCAGTGCAGTTGTTGGTCAGCCACAAGTTTCACCCACGCCAAAAGCATGATTGGGCCTGCTAAAATGTTAACCCAATCTTGGGCTTCGCTAGTGTTCCTGGTACGTGTTGGTACTTCACCCTCTGTCCCCTGTGGTACCCATACCAGTTGACCATAGGTAGAATTATATTCTTTTCTGGGTGCCACAGTTTGAGAGGATCAGGACAAAATCAGAACCTGTCCGGAAAGTTATCAGAGAAGTGAGAATTCAGAGAAACATACCATATAAGGAAGAATTAATGGAGCAGAGAGGGCCAGGCACACTTGCAAATCTTTGGAGAGCTATTTCATACAAGGTTGACTTGTTGTTGAACCAGGACCGGTGGTGGAAGACACAGGGAAGAAGGGCCTCTCCTGCACGTGGAACCATCCAGCCATGAAACTAGCTGCTTTGGGAAAATACACTCCCTGCTGTGAAAATGCCCCGCCCACAGGGCCTGCCTCAGGGTCATCTCTGCTACCTGTGTACCCAGGTGTCTAAAACATATTGTAAACCACCCACCGGAGCCACCATTAAAAAGAGGCCATTTAAAAGATATGCGTTACCCATTATTTTAGGACATCTGAGTTCTCCCGTGGTTCTAAATGAACTCGTCAAAGAGCAGCAGACTTAAGCTGGTAAAGAAAAAAGCCTCTCTCTGCATGTTTTGGCTGAACTAAGAGTTAATGTTTATAAGGGACCTGATAGGGACACATTGGAAAATATTTTTTTAATCTCTTTGCAACCCCACCACTGTGCCCTGGATTGGCCAACGTCATTTCATGAAGACAGCAGAGTTTCAGGAGGCAGAACAGCATCGTGCCAATGAGTGTGGGCTCTGGAGTCTAACTACCTGGGAAACAACCCAGCTCCACGAAGTTCTTCATGTGAGACCATGGGCGTGGGGGCCATGTGTCCTCACCTGTAATATTTCTGCCCTGCAGGATTTTCTTTGGGTAAAAAGTAAACCAGACATGAACTATTAGTATTAACATTATAACAATATAGAAATAATTAATATAAATGCAAAGCTAGACAATGAAACCAAAACATTTTTTCCATAAAATTCTAGGCCTCAGAGACGCAGTCGTTGACATAAGCAACTCGGGATCTCATTGTTCCTAAGTGATTTCAAGTCATCTGAGGACTCTAAGAATTTACTGTGGCAGAGATGAGCGTTCCTCGCTAAAGCAAGACACATGGGATCACTTGTCTTATGATCACGTCACTTCTACTGGGTGAGAGGAGTGGGCTAGGCAACGTTCAGGGCATTTCTGGGAGGTGCCGAGGGCTGTGGGCGAGGCTGATTTCAGTGTCCCTTGCAGGACCGCAGGAGCAGAGCGCTCACACCCCCGTTTCCGTGGGAACCTCACGGGAATCCCAGGAGAGGTACAGGAACACGTCTTCCTCCCCCTGTGCTTTTCATTTCTTAAAGGGTGCGCTCTATGCCATTTCCCTCTCTCCTTACATAACAAGTTATTTCCCTGTTATTTTTGGCTTTAATTTCTTAGAAATAGAGAAAGCAAATAACCACCTAATTAAGATGAAGTTCTCCATTGAGATAATCAGCTAAATAAAAAGAATTTCTTAACACCTGCAGAGAAATTTATAGTGATTAGCTTTCAGTGTACAGTACATCATTATGAGAAAAGCCAGCGTATCAATAATAATATTCTCATAAAGGGAGATGGTATGTATCTCCATTTATCGGAAATTCTTCACCATCCTTCAGTACTATTCTGGTTTTCTTCACAAAGGACCCACATATTTATTTTCCCCTAGATTTCCTACTTTCCCTTACAGAAATAACCCTTGGATTTATTTATCAACTTTACCATTCTTCTGTTTTCCAAAGCACCATTTAGACTTTAATTTTTAGTATTTTCTTGATTCTGCTTTCTGTTTATTTTATTCGTCTTTTCTTTCAACTTCTTTCACTGAATATTTACTTGACTTATTTCCTTTTTAAGTAAAATCACTTAAGGCTATTAATTTTACTCTGGATATAGTTTCAGCCACACACATTTTAAGAAGTAGAAATCTGATTTTTAATTATTTTCTAACTAGTCTGTAATGGTAGTTTTGCTTTTTTAATTTGATTTCATCTTTACTCAGGACTTAGCATTTTTGTTTCCAAAAGGAATGATAATTTTAATTGGGTTTTGATAGTTACTAATTTCTATTTTATTGTATTCTAGAAAAAGAGACCTATGCATTTTCTTATTTGGGGAATTTGTTAAATTTTCTTTTTTTGGTAGCCTGCTATGTGGTCGATTAGGTTAGATTACTTAAAAGCAGTACTAAGGGCCCTGGTTGGTGTAGCTCAATGGATTGAGCACAGCGGGCCTGCAAACCAGGCAATCCCGGTTCGATTCCCAGTCAGGGCACATGCCTGGGTTGCAGGCCGGTTCCCTGCAGGCCAGTTCCCAGCAGGGGACACACAAAAGGCAACCATACATTGATGTTTCTCTCCCTCTCTCCTTCCCTTCCCCTCTAAAGATAAACAAATAAAATCTTAAAAAAAAAAAAGCAGTGTTAAAATTCTCTATGCCCTATTTATTTTTTGACTTTATGTGCCCACAGTTAAGAGGTATGTATCATGGTTTCTCAGAATGAGAATTCTATTTCACCTTCTCCTTGGTGGCTTTCCCTTAGGATGTGTTATGTACCCCCCGTGTCACACATAAAGGGCCCTGGCCCCCGCGGGTAGGATTGCCACGTCCTCCCTGTGCATTGTCTGTGCCGCACTTTGCCTTGTGGGGAAACTCAGCTGGTAAAATACTTTTACTTCCAACACCTCGTCTTGTCCTCCTAATGATCCGCAAAGAGATGAGGCAGTTCTTGCCATCACCACCACCATTTCAGTTTCACAAAACTGAAATGAAGGGACTTGCCCAGTCATACCACTCAAATCGGTCTTGGGGCCCCACTCTGCACAGTCCTAGTGGGGTGCACTGGACCGTGAGTCCTCCACACCTGGACCCACGTCTGTTTTCTCCACAACACCCATGGATCGGATGGGTCTCGGTCTCCCGGCCACGCTGACTGCCCGGCAGCTGTCCCCTCTGCCCTTTGCCTACCCTGTTTATCCTCTGAGGGACATCCCACAAGGGGGGTGGGCCCTTGGGGTTGAGAACAGAGACACTAACACACAGGACATAGAAAGAGATTTACCGACGTGCAGCGAACAACTGTTATTGAAAGAGAATCTTCAGCTTCCCTGAAAAAAAACAAACAAAAACATTTTGTCATTCTTGGTGATGTTGAGGGGTGTGTGTGTGTGTGTGTGTGTGTGTGTGTGTGTGTGTGTGTGCGTGTGTGTGTGTTAGGGTCACAAAGATGAGCAGAACTGCAGAGCAGCTTCTCTCTCCTCAGCCTCTTTGGCTCAGGGAGATTGGGAGGGATGTTGAGGGAAGCAGGCATGTGCAAAGGAGCTTACACTGTCCTCAAGTGCCTCTTCTAACTCGAGGAAATCTTCAGGTTTCTGCCTCTACCATCTAACCTAAGCCCACAGCCACGGAATTAAGTCCCGGAGCCTCTCTTTAGTCTGTGTGGCGGAGAATTCACCCAGTTGCTATGACTACTAGTTAGGTTTACGTCCAAAAATTTTTTTAAAGGAGAAAACATAGCAATAACATGGATATTTTAGGTTGCTATGTCTTACACTAAACATTTCACTAAGTAGAATGAATGAATGTGACTAACATTTATCAGACAAGAGTCCGCCTGTTTATTGTTGGGCCCATGAAATCAGTGTGGTGAGCCCAGTCAGGTAATCAAGACACCAGACGTTTTTGTCTTGTTATCTCTTAGATTCCCGAAGCCATCAAATCAACTAGATAACTGCCAAGCTTGCACTTTGAATCAGAAAACAGAACTGAAAAATCAATTCTTATTTTCCTTTTTCTTTGCTATTGCTACATAGAGAAGCAGTTTGCAAAATAATTTCATTTGACTTCTTGCAGTGTGAACAATGAGGCCAATCGCTGCTAGCATGTTATTTCCTCAAATGGATAAACTCAGCCCAAAGTTTCTAAGTGTCTGGGGGTTGCCCCTTCTCCGTTTCCTATAATAACAGGCCTTTTCCAAAATAAGTCACAACAAACCAATATCCAAGTGCTCTCCAAAGGACGTTTTGGCCTCACAAGAGTTGGAAGAATTAAAGAAGTTTTGTCAGTTGTGTTGTGCCATTTTGCTTTGCCTGGTTCCCGCCCCCCCCCCCCCAAATGGCAATGACCTTGGGAATCAAGCTAAAAAAAATTAGCAGGCCTGGGATTCCCACAGGCAGCATGGCAGAGCACACGGATGCATAGAGCACATCAAGTCACATCCCTGCTTGGAAGTCGTCCATGGCTCACCCTTCCAGGAGAAGAATAGCACCTGAACTTGCTCCATCAGCATTCAAGACCCGCCATTCCCTGGGCTTCACTTCCCAGAACTACTCTCTAGGCCTGCGGTGCCTTAGGCAAACTGAACCATTCAGCGCCCTCTGCTCCCCACTCAATCGCTCCTGCTTATTTATCTCTTTGCCTGGACCACACTTCACCTCCATCTTCGTGGGCCAAATTCTATCCAGCATTAAAGGCATAGCTGAAATACTTCCTGGACTCTCCTCTGTTTTGTCAAACCACAACTTCCTCACAAGTTGGAGGAATCTCCAGCTAAATGCCCCTTCCCCCTGCTTCCCCGGAGGCCGTGTCTGCCCGCCATCTCAACAGGGGCCACACACGTTTCTGCACCAGCAGCTGGCCACGGAATCCTGGTGTGCTGCTTTAAACCGTAAATACTTTTCTTCCTTGGTTACAGTTTGATCCAGCCTGGCAGAAATATAAATAGCACTGAAAATCTCAAATTTATTTGCTGGATTCGATCATCTTTGAGAAAGCTTCCAAGAGTTAAGGAGGGAAACTTCATGATTTCCATCACCATACTTCGTTTTTCAGAAGTGAAATCACCCAGTCTTTTCCTCGCTGCCCTGCCCCCTCGGCTTTTTCTCTGGCAATCCTGAAGCCATGCTGGGCTGGGCTGAAGGATTCTACTTTCAGTCCTTGGGCAGATTTTCTCTGTAAATCTTAAGCTGTGCGTGCACATGAGACTGTCTCCCCTGAAGTGGGAGCTGCACCCTGTGTTTTCATTTTCTTTCTCTGACTTTTTGACTGTTACCTGTTGTTCGATGTGTGCCACGGGCCCTCAGCAATGAAAAACACCCCAAAACCTGATCAACCACTCACAAAAAGGCACAAACTAAAGTAAAAAAACTTGCTGTATCTTCAAGCTGGCTTTCCTCTGACTCAATTTCTCATTTCTCCTTATTTATATGAAAGTCTTTAAAACAGCGTTGGTGGAAAAATTTAAACGACAAAGACTGCACGTGCCTATAAAATGACTGGTCACCCTCTTTTCTCCTGTCACTGGCATTCCTCCATCTTAAAACGGGGATCACCAAGAGTCAGCGCCAACCATTTACACTTGCTCAGCTGAGCACCCACTGTGCACCTGCTCTCAGGGAGATCACGCGTGGGCAGAACGCGAGGCGTTTACACAAATCACAGTGACTCCAGGATGAAGGTGGTAGGTGCCGTATTATTGGAACTACATACACACCAGCAGGCTGTCTTTGTGAGAGCATTGAAGAAGAGGTATCAAAAGGGTTAAAGAAGAACAAAGAGGCTGAGGGTCAACTTAGACCAATCTTTGGCATATGTTACAACCACACCACAAATCCTGAAAGGCTGGGGTCTATGCATTATTCATCATTACATTCCCTGCGGTGCCTAGCACAGTGCCTTGGGCATGGTGGGGCTTGAGAAATACAGCAGCCTGTGCCACCCGATTGCTTCTGCCAGCAGGTGAAAGAGAGCAGGTAGTAACCAAGATGGAGTTCTAAAACGAGGCTGCGGTTACTGCTCTCAGGAACACCAGACCCTGGTAGAATCACAGGAGATCATCCCTGTCACCCATCTCTGCTCTGTGCTAATCTGTGTGCCTCTGGGTGACAGAAGACAATGTCATACCTCAGAATATCCACTACTTGTTCATAGGAGAGCTCTTCAGCGGGCTCGTTGTTCACCTGGAGGATCTGATCGCCAGGGAAAAGCTTGCCATGAGCACAGCCTCCTGTTGGACAGAGAAGATGTAACTGGTGCTCGCCCAGGAGGGCCACACCCCATGTGTCACACCCCACTCCTGAGCGGCAACCTGATCCAGTCCTCAGGGCACTGGCTTGCTGCCCCCCCCCCCCAAACCGGCACTGCAGACGGCCTCGGGCTCACGTGGATCTCAGATTTACTGTTTACAAATCATGGATACTGTCCCTACCATCCATCACCGTCGCAGGACGTTAGGAGACTGTCCTGAGAAAGGTCACTAGCAGAACTCCCTGAATCAACAGAGCTGGCCAGTAAATCTGCTACATGCATTTCTGGTTTGCAGGCAGTGCTCCGTCCACTGAGCCACACCAGCCAGGGCTTACATTCATTTCTAAAGAACTGTGTGAGTGTACACTGGAAGTAGTGGGTTTTAACTAGGCCCAGTTCTAACATCAATATGTGGCTGGGGTACGAAAACAGACATTAGACATTTCTAGCCTGCTCTTCACCTTGATACAGTCTATATTTTACACAGCTTCAAGTGAAAACAAATCAATAATTTCTATTACTGTCTGCCCAGAAAGTCTCCCCAGCTTGGAGCATGCGGGGTTCAAAGAGGGACCGGCTGATCCAAATACCGTCGTTGCCCGGAGGAGACTGGCCAGGGAGCCACAGGTGGGCAGAGCCCTGCCTGAGGCCAGTGGGAGCTCGGGGTTCAGATCAGCAAGTGCACTTGGGGCTCCCTCCCTCCCAGCACCAGAGGACGAATGTGCAAAGCCCAAGAGAGCATTAGGTCAGAATTAGACATGCCCTTTCTAACTTCCAGGGGCACCCATTTCTGCATTACGTTACTGGACAGAGAGATGGGAAGAGAACCACAGCTATTCCCCCACAGGAGGCCAAGCTCCTTTCCCATCTCCTAGCTGGCCCTTACCTGCCGTGACGGCCACCACAGTGAGGGGAAGGCTCTCGGAAACGTGGAATCCATAGTCCTGCAGGAGGGCGTCTTTGTCTATTGTTACCGTGTGTTTCACAGGGATGAGGGTCTGGGTTGGGATTCCAGGGGGCCCAGCAGCTGCAGCAACTTTAGCCCTGGAAGAGAAGGAGGATGTAAAAAGAGAGACGGGGGATTCGAAGTGGTGGCTACAAACCAGGTCAGCACTAGGCGCCCTGGAGGAGCTGAGCAAACAACCCTCCTGGACAGAGATAAGACACGAACACCAGGAGAAAAAGCACCAACTAGCACACGCTCTAAGAGAGACGCCAGGAACTGCCATGGTGCGCAGAGCAGGGGAGAGCAGTTTTAACTTTGGGGGATGGGGGGCAAGGAATCAGGAAGCACTCGCTATCTGGAAGAGGTGATGTGTGAAAGATGTTGAGGGTACATATGTCCTCTTGGGCCAGATCCTGGCACAGTAGTTGCTGCTGAGTGGGTGCGTGGATGGATAGATGGACGGGCATTCCAGGCAGAAGGCACCGTGGAGCCGAGGTGCAGAAGGAAAAACGTTGGCTACGGACAGGAACGCGGAGTTGTTTGGCTTGGCTGTCCATGATGCTTGCTTCACTGTGTCTTTGGTAGTTCTTTCTTCCTTTTTTGCTTTCTGATGAATTTGCTTTCCTTTGAACCTCGTGTCTGTGAGGATTCCAATATGAAATCCCAGATAATGAAGACTTCCTCTATGTTAATCCTTTAAAAACATGTATATTCTCTATGTATCTAAAATCAGTCAAGGTGCAAGCTGCATTTCCCATCTCTCAAAACCACAAAGTGAGTCACAAACTATTTTTTATTTGACTGTGGCAAATGATTTTCCTCCCACGAGGAGTCACTGGTTCTTCCTGGGGAAGGTCAAATAGTGACGGGATGAGGTGTTTATTGTCATTATAAACTCCAGAAATGTGGAGAAGTAATAGGTCCCTCAGGGCTCTGCAGTTAAAGGCTATCATTCATTGTCATCCATTTCCCAAACACTGTCAGGAACTCTGACTAATGCGCTAGGACCTCATTTATCTGGGGCTCACCTCTCCGTCATTTACAATGATCTCCAACTTCAACGAGAACCAAGAAATATGAAAAACAGCCTCATGGAGCCAAAATGCACGTGACAAGTCCCAGGACAAAGCCTCCTGCACATCATCCATCAAGAAGCTGCGCAGACCCTGGCTGAGAGCAGGTTGAAGCTGTCTGAATAGAGGACTCACGCAGCTTAGAAGCAGAGAGAAGGTTTGTCCTAGGAAAGCACACGGGAGTACTGAGAAGTATTAGCAAACAGACCTCACGAGGGGGAAGAAATAGAAGCCGTGAAAATTTATACTGAATAAAACCCCTAGCTATTCCTGATTTTTAGAAAACCTTAAATCTAGGAAAGGGTCTTTCTAAATAGAATAAATAATATATACTACACTGACAGCCAAAAATCAACATCTATGTTCCTTTCAAAAAGCAGCAGGAAGGATACCTTAGACACTACTCCTGTTTCACGTAGCCCGAGGAATGCTTGTGATAGTTTTCACAGAAGCGAAAACAATAACAGACATTATAGGCACAGGAAATGGAAAAAATACCACCTTTTAAAAAAACAGATGATGATATACACCTACAAAATAATCAACAAAGAGAACTGCTGGAAATAAAAAAAAATCAAGTTCGGTGAAGTTGCAGGATAAAATCACAAGGACAAAAAGCATTCCACAATCCATTCAAAACAGACCAGCTGAATGTGTACTGGGTGGGAGGCATGCTTAATGAGCTAACACCATGGAGGAAGACACAAGTAATTCCAAACTAGTTTCCTTGGAGTTGCTCAGTACACTGGCCTTTGCACGAGCTCTTCCCTCTGCCTAGCATCCCCCCTGCTCCCAACATACACACTCTCAGCAATTTCCCCAACACACCCAGCCATGCCCTTTACCTGGCCGGCTCCTACGCTGCCCTCTGGTTTTGGCAGAAACATCCCGCTCCCCCTGCTGAACACACCCACAGAAACTGTACATCCCTTTTTTGAATCATACACCACATTTGTAAGGACCAGTGTGAAGTCTCTTGTTTGACTATAGTTTTTTTTTTAATTGTCGTTCAGTTCCAGTTGCCCCACATTTTTTCTCCTGCTGGACTAGAGTTTGTATGGCAAAAACTATGTGCTGAATTCAAAGCTAGGCGTAGAGTAAGGCTTGCAAAATGCTTAGAGAACAGAAGGAAAAAAAACAAACCTTATCACAGCGCTAAACAGAATCCATTGTGACGCCTTGCAAATGGGCAGGCTCATCTGACTTGGCAGTTTGGGAGGGTACCTTCCGCAACAAGGGCGGACAAGGGAGGCCCCACTGGGCTGACTAATCCCTGGACGGCGTTGGGAGCTTTGGTCCGACCCCTGGATCTGACATTTTCCCCGAAGGCCGTATTTCAGCTTTTGTTTGGAAAAGGGATTGCCAAAGAGCATGATCAAACCACGGCCTCTCCTCACAAAAAATGTTCAATATTTGACAGAGCGCTGAAGGAAATGATCTCTGTAGCCAGATTTTCTCTCGATGCATCTTATAAATGTCAAACTGAGTGCCAGTGATCCAAAAACCTGTGTCTGCTGCCTTCGTAATGGTTTCAAGTCGTAAGTCTGGAGTTGTTGCTGTGGTTTTATACTGGAACAGAAGTAAGACCTGTGGCTACACTAATGGAACTCCTGCCTGATAACCGGACGGAGCCCAAGGTAGAACCAGAAAAAAACATGTTCAATTTATTGTGAAAATAGTCTCACGTAGGCTAATTCTCTATTTTATGGATTATCACTTCGCACTGAGCTGATCAATGACATGAAAAAGGAAAAATACCAGGCTGTGCTTTAAATATTCTCTGGCTTTTTATCTGCTTTCTGACAAAGTATGTTTTACCTCTATGTTGTAACAATGAAGAATTCACCTTTGAGTTCTAGCAGGACGTGGAGAAACTGTTCTGAATCTATGTTTAAACATCATATTATGTTGAGCTTAAGTGATTTTAAGAACTAAAGTCTGGTGTGAATTGGATTTTTAATCTAAAGCTTATCCAAAGAAAGAATAACTGAGGTAGCAGCCTAGACCAGAAAGAAATTGAGGACTTTGCTGGCAGCTGTGTCGGCTTCTCGGGGCCACTGAACGTCCGTCCATACTGTGAGTACAGGGTGAGAGAGCAAAGGCCTGCAGCTGTGAGGAGGGGCAAGCACCCCACTGTCACTTCGAAAAGGAGATTCAGAAAGGGGGAGTCAGACCGTGGCAGCTCTCGGCATGCTGTGCAGGAGCCTCCCGGCCTGCCTTCCTTGGTCTTTCCACTGTTGCCCATGAGTCAAAAAGCAATAACGATTTGGTACTGGGAATGGTCTTCCTACATCATTAGGAGCACCAGAAAAGTCAGCGAGGGCCATCCCTACAGTTAGTAAACAGATGGTGGTGGTGATGAACAAGCGAATCTGGAAACCAACAGCAAGGGCTCTGACACTCAGATGCTATGAGGCATGCGTGTGCACATGCACACCTGCGTGTGTGCACGTGTGTGCAGACCTGTGTGTTCATTACTAGTGAGATTCAAGATAAGTTGCAAGAAATCATCATATTCAGCCACAAGGATAAAACCGAGTCCCAAGAAGAAGACATCAAGGTGCACTAAGCCCTTTGTTTCTGTACACCGTGCTCAGAAAAACTGGCATTGCCAGACTGAGCACGAGAACATTCAGTAGGGCTTATGCTGAATGGTTTTAATGATACAGCAAAATTATACTAAAGTTCACATGGAAAAATAGGCAGGCAGGTGTAAAAAAAGGAAAACAAGGAGTAATAGAATTCTAATTGAACAGATAAACATGTAAACAGTTTTAACAAGCGTGTGGAGTCAGGCAATTAGATTGAAGGAACAGAAGAGCCAGCCCAGAGAGAGGTCCGATGTCCCACTCCCAGACACAGGACTTCATAGATGATGAAGCAGGGGCCGTAAATCAGCGAAGAAAAATCACTCGCAGTCAGTGGTAAGGCAAACCGCTTTCTGCTTTAGAATAAATCAATGAGATCTTCATCTCATAGCCTATTCTAAAATAAACTACATATTAAAGAATTAAATATAGAATATTTTAACGATGAAATTGAAAATTAATTAACCTCATTTAATTATTGGGTGAGGATTACCTAAGCTTAGAAGCAATCAAAGAAATTGCTAAGAGAGTATCATTTAACTACATAAAAATCAAAACTTTTGCCCTGGTTGGTGTGGCTCAGTGGATTGAGTGCTGGCATGTGAACCAAAGGGTTGCCAGTTCAAATCCCAGTCAGGGCACATGCCTGGGTTGTGGGCCAGATCTCCAGTTGGGGGCATGTGCGAGTCAACCGCACACTGATATTTCTCTTCCTCTCTTTTTCCCTCCCTTCCCCTCTCCCTCAAAATAAATAAATAAAATCTTTTAAAAAACCCCAAAACTTGTAGGACAGAAAAAATTGGTATAATTAAGTAGACAAGTATACTATAAATTAAGTCTTTCTCATTTCATCACTCATACAGTTATACAAAGCTGTTAAAAAATGGCAATTAAGTTCAAAGCAAACTGCTTAAAAATCAGAATATGCTATTAAGTAGTCTGTGTTGCACTATTCATACAGAAATTCAACACAGGTCACAGAGTCCATTGGGCGGGTAGCTATTTCTAGAAGAGCGCTGATGTCGTGTTATTCCTGTAGTGGAATGTGAAGTTACACGATGAGAGAGTAGTTGTCTTCACCACACCTGAATAACTTGGTATCACGAGGCACGCACCTACCCAAGCACACACACTCATTCCAACTGAGCACCACTATGTGAATTTGACTAATGACTGTAAAGAGCCACCCACTGAAAACTGATTTATAATCTAAGCAATCAAAGCCACTTTGGAAGCTGACAGTCCTCCCCAGAAAATGCACTATTTTAAGATGCATTATAAAGACCAACATTACTCCAGGTCCATAAGAGTTACCAGTTCATTTAGTGAAATTTAGAAATGAAAATAGTTATTTTTAACTAATTTGCTCCTAGATGATTTGATTAGACTCAGAGATAAGGCTTAACATTTATGGGGGGAAATGGCTCACAAGTAAAGTACAACTGGCTGCAATGATCAACTTTTTTTTTTAAAGATTTTATTAATTTATCTTTAAAGGGGAAGGGAAGGAGAGAGGGAGAGAAATATCAATGTATGGTTGCTTCTCGTGTGTCCCCTGCTGGGAACTGACCTGCAACTCAGGCATGTGCCCTGACTGGGAATCAAACCGCGATCCTCTGGTTTGCAGGCCCACGCTCAATCCACTGAGCTACACCAGCCAGGACTAAGCTTTTAAAAGTCTGAAAAAAACAACAGGATTGCTAAAAGATACATGCAAACTTATAGGACTCCAGATGAATTTCTATGTCTTCTTTTTCTGGACTTTAGAAAACATTTCAATGTACTTTTCTCATTTCTTGCCTGGCTATCAGGAAACTTGGAGCCAATGTTTGCATTCTAATGCTAACCCTATGTCTAACTGGTTTACAATCCACTTATAGCATCTCTAGTCCTTTTTTTAATTAAATTTTTTTATTGCTGTTCAATGACGGTTGTCCCCATTTTCCCTCATTACTCTCCTCCGACCTGCCCACCCCCTCCTCCCGCATTTAATCCTCATACCCCTCTGTTGTTTATCAGATGAAATAAATTAATACAGTTCTCAATGATTAGTAGGAATTGATTCCTTTTTAAAATATATTTTATTGATCATGCTATTACAGTTGTCCCATTTTTTCTCCCTTTTATTCCCCTGATCCCTGCATCCCCTCACCAACATTCCCCTCTCCCCCCTAGTTCACGTCCATGGGTCGCACATACAAGTTCTTTGGCTTCTCCACATTTCTAGTCTTTATTGAAATTTTTCTACATGTTTTAAAACTGTAAACCATCAAAAATTCCTTTTGGAAGAAAGAAGAGTGTAAAATTTAAATATATTTTAATAAGTACTATAGTCCCTTACTGTGAAAATTCTTAATCAATAAATATCTGTTGAACATCTATTATAGACCGCATACTCTTCCTGGGCTGAAGATACTTGTAAAGCAGAACAGTCACAGTCATTGGTCTCATATGTGGCAGGAAGGTTGGAGAAGGGCCATATAATCAAATGGGGGAGAGAGACAATGAACAAGTAACAAATGGATATACTATTATAAAGTACAACAAGGAGTAAGTACTCAAGGAAACAAACAGGGGCCCACTGTGCCACTGAATGGTTTTGGGTGGGGTGGGGCTGGGGGCAAGTGTGTGGGGCAGGAGCAGTCTGTACCTTGAAAATTCCACTATGGCTTCAGGGCAGAGAATTGGGTGGAGCAGAGAAGGGGGATGGAGGGGTGGAGGGATCAGAGATATGTTTGAAGGTGAACTGACAGGAGATGCTGGTGGGGCGGAGGCAGAGTGTGAAGGAAAGAGAAAAATCCAGGATGACTCCCAGATTTCTTGATTAAGCAACAGAGTGGTAGGTGATACCATTTATTCTACTCCAGGGTAACTCCAGTGATCTACCCGAAACTCAGCTTTTCAGTTCCTGATCATCAAGCAATCTGAGGACACCAAGAACCCAGCCTGTATCGAAGGTGCAGAGTTGGAAGTGAGAAGCAATTTAAATAAGGCTACTTGTGATTTACCCTAGAAACACAGACATTATGTCTTCCACGGACAATGCCAGGAAACTTTCCTTCTTTTTCTTCTCTTCCTCAAGCACATGGAAAACAAAACTCCCTAGATGCATGAAAAGATGCTCAGCATCGTGAGCCATCAGGAAAACACAGACAAAAACCACAGCGAGACACCACTTTACACCTGCTGGGGTCAATACAATCCAAAACACAGATAATACCAAGTGTTGACAAAGATGGAGACATTGGAACCATCAGACTCTGCTGGTGGAAATGTAAAGTGGCACAGCTGCTTTGGAAAACAGCCTGGCAGTTCCTCAGAAGGGTATGTATTGAGTTACCCTATGGCCCAGCTATTCCATCCTTAAACATTGACCCCAGAGAAATGAAAACATATGTTCAAACAAAGTTCTACACAAATGTTTATAACAGTGTCATTCATAATAGCCCCAAAGTAGAAATGACCCAAGTGTTCATTGGCTGATGCATGAACAAAGTAAATATTCCATAATGGAAGGATGTTTGGTAATAAAAAGGAATAAAATATGATACATGCTATACATGGATGAACCTTAAACACATTACGCTAAGTGAAAGGAGCTAGTCACAAAAGACCACATATCATATGATTCCATTTAATGGGAGATAACCAGAACAGGAGACTATAGACCCAGAAAGTACCATATTTTTGGACTATAAGATGCACTTAGGTTTCAGAGGAGGAAAATAGGAAAGAAAATTTTGAAGCAAAAAATGTGGTAAAATATTTAATAACATAAATAACATAATATTTTACCAAGGCAAATATAAGCAGAACTGAACAGCAGCATTAACGACCATTATTCCTCCCAAATTTGAGGGGGAGAAGACAGTGCGTCTTATAGTCTGAAAAATACGGTAGAAAGCTGGGGCTGGGGGCACGGCAAACCGGGAATGACTGTTAGTGGGTACAGGGGTTCTTCCTGGGGTACTGAAAATGAGAATTCTAAAAGAAAAATTCTAAAATTAGATTGTGGTGATTGTTGCACAATTCTATATATATACAGTAAATATATAACTTTCTAGAGGTCAGTATTACCTTTTACTTATATTCTGTGTAAGAAGCTAGATATTAGAGAGTTCCAATATCAAATATTTAGGCAACATCAAGTTAAAGTTATACACATCTTTTCTGCAGGAGTTCTCACAGCCTTCAATGTGCTAAAATGCACCAAGAATCACCAAGAGGGGTGGGCTTGGGTGGGATGCGGGCTGCATCACTTCCCAGACACATCTGACCATGGCACATTTTAAGGGAGCTGCATACCCCCAGGGTTTGCAGAATCCACTTTAGGAAACAATGTACCTAGCAGCTTTCCCATTGGTTCATCAAGTACCACTTAACCACTTGTAATATCCTGGAGATGAGGCTGATCTTTCCCTGCCCTCAGAGAGTTGACAATTTAGAATAAAGAAAAGGAATACACACAAATAAGTTGAACACACCAGGAGGAGCATAATGCCAATTCTACAAATCATGTGTGGCCCCATGGGAGAAATGAATTCTGACTGTGGGCTAGGGACCACTTCATGGAAAGCACAGCACTTTAGCTGGACTTCGCACTGCAGGTGGGTTCTGGACATGGAGATGGGAGCCCAGGTCTCCCTAAGGGGTAGAAGGGGTGGTGGGGGTGCTTATGGTAAGGGAATAACGAGTAGGTCATTTTAGCTGGAGTATGATATGAATGAAGCAGAGTAATAAGGCAAACAGCTATAAAGGACGGTGGGGTTAATCTCAGAGAGCCTTGAATGTCAAGCCCAAAATGTTTAAACTCAGCCTCTCAGAAATGAAGACCCATCAACAGGTTTCTGAGCGGGAAGCGTCGGGGGAGGCGATGCTCCTATACAAGTCACTCTCTGAGTGAGCCTTGGCTGTTCATCTGTGAAATGGGGCTAATTCTAGCAGCCTTATCTCACTGCAGTGTGTGAGGATCAGAGCACTGGGCCAGCCCGAGCAGGGCTTATTCTCAGCAGCAGAACAGCTGTTTCCAGTTTCTTCGGAAGAATGTGTGTCTGTCTCAGAAACACCTGACATGTGATAGTTTATCTGCGTGGCAGGGCCAGATGGGAAATCTGAGATGGAAAATGAAGGCTTTGAAACAGAACATATTTTGAGTTCTCTTGTAGCAGTCACATCAGATTTGTATTTGATTTCACTTTATTTTGTTTAGAATGAAATGGGGACTGCAAGGAAGGAACAGCTGCTAGAAACGAAGTCGGGGAAAGAGTGTAAACAGCAGATTGTCTGACCCTCACGTCAAGTACAAAGACAAGGGTGTGTGTGAGACAGAGAAAGAGACCGAGAGAATGAGGGAGCATCTATGAGTGTGAGTTCAAAAGCATGTGTGAGTTCAAAATGCACGCGTGCATGTGTGTGAGCATTTGGTGTATGAGTGTGTTTGTCTCTGAAAATGCGAGAGTGAGTTCTGTGTGTGTGTGTGCTTGCGTATGCGGGTGCACGTTTGAGGGACGCAGAGGGGAGGGCTGGAAGGGACAGAGAGAAAGGCGCTCCTGCAAAATTGCTGACCGGTTTCCACTTCTCCCACCCCGTGGTGTAAGAACAAAGCAAGCGGGACACAGTGATCCCCAGGCACTGCCAAGACTGGCGGAGCCTCCTCCCGCAGGACACCAGTCCTTCACTGGCAGACACCTCTGCCAGCCCGGGAGCCTTACCGGGCCGAACTGTCCCGCGAGCGCCGAAGCCATCTTGCCACCATTTGCTCTATCCTGTGTGCTTTCCGTGTCTGGAATAAACTGGTCTCCAGCTCTTCCATTTACCTAAAAGCAAGAAGAGTTTCCTTAAGACCCTTGCCAAGGTATTTTGAAGACTTTGCTGACAGATCGCTGTGAAGCTTCCTGTATTTGCCCATTTTAAGAAATGCTAATCAAAGAGCCAGGGCTCCGCTTGCACCTGAAATGAACGTGCACAGGGGCTCGGCGCCCACAGAGAGGGCAGCTTCCGCAGCCCCCTGCGCTGAGGGGTCCACAGTCCTGTGGCAAGCAGGTTGGCTTAGGAAATAAAATAGATTAGGTTTCTCGAACTGTGATTGTGACCCACTGTGACAGACATACCTTCCTGCATGTCTCTGTCCCCCCCAGCTGTGTGTGCGCCCTGGACAGCGCAGCTCAGCTCTGCCAGCAGTGGGAACTGCACACTCGGGCCTGCTCTGAGTGCTGATGCTTTGGCTCAGTATTGTATATCTAATTTCCAAATATGTAATTCATTTGCATAATTTAAAACCTAGACTGTGAAAAGGATTCACAGCCAGTATATTGGGCACTATGCTAAATTTCGTTAAGAGGTTAGATCTCATGTTAAGTGTGTTCTTATCACAATTATTTAAAAGTACAGTGAAAAGTCTCCCCTCTATCCTCACCTGCCTTCATCCACCCGGAGCCCACACCCATAGGTAATCACCGCCCTCCTTCCTGATTTATCTTTCCGGAGTTTCTTTATGCCTAGACAAGTAAATACAAATAAATACTTTATACTTCCTCTTTTCAACACAATACACATCGTGCATCACACACATTGTCCTTCTCAGAATATGTTATACCCATGTCTTTCCACATCAGTACAAAGAAGCCTTCTTCATTCCTTTTGACAACTCCCAAGTGTGAGTGTACTGTAATTTAAGTAGTAGCCCTCTACTGATAGACATTGGGGTTACTGCCAGCCTTTTGCTACTTTAAACAATACTGTAATGTAGCATTTCTGCATGCTTGCAATTCTGTATCTGGATAAGTTCCCAAATACTGAATTGCTAAGTCAAAACTTATAGGCATTTGTGCTTTGAGGGATGGATGTTGTCAGGTCACCAAGAAAAACAATCCATGTGCTTGGGATTCCAATTTCATAAAACAGTCTGTACTTAGAGCTTTCTATGCCACATTATTTCACTTTCTTAAAATACTGGTCTCAAATCAGCAAATTGATTCTACAACCTAATAAATAGTCACAAAATAAGATCAGATATTGGGAAATAACCATGGATACAGAGAAAGTAAGAAAAGAATGATAAGAGATTGTGTTGCTTAATAATACAGAAAGATATTTGAAAACCTTAATGACACAGATGGTTTTCAAGGAAAATATAGAGTAATATCAGATGACCCTGAAAGAGATTTAAAATTCTAAATAGACAACTACCATAGAAGAGAAAATTGTTAAAGAGCTACCCACCCACCCCCCGCCCAAGTAGTCACAGGCACAGACAGGTTGAATTCTTATAAATCTATAAGATGTACACCTCATCCTGATAATTTTCTGTTTTATTGTAAATAGAAACTTATTATTTTGGAATAATTTTAGATGTATAAAAGGTTTCAAAGACAGTACAGAGAGTTTCCCATGCATACCCTTCGTTAAGTTTCCCCTAACGTTAATATCTTACATAATCATTGTACCTTTGTCAAAACTAAGAAATTAACATTGATCCAGTAATATTCACTATAATATAGGCTTTATTCAGATTTTACAAATTTTTCCCCACTAATGTTCCTTTTCTGTTCCAGGATCCAATCTAGGATAATGTTGCTTTTAGCCAACTTGGTTAATTTTTCCCCAAATGTTATTTTAGATGCTTGAGTATAAAGAAGGAAAGCTTCCAAATTATTTTGAAGCAGTCAGTACAATATTGATACCAATTCTGTTATAAACAGCACAAACCTCTCTTGTGCCAATCCCTGCTGGCCTGAAATGTTTCTGTGGAAAAATTAGCTGACAGTCTTACAGGAGCTCCCCTGTGGGAAACTAGTTGTCTTTGTCTTGCTGCTTTTAAGATTTTCTCTTTGTCTTTTACCTTTGCCATTTTAATTATGGTGTATCTTGGTGTGGGCCTCTTTAGGTCCACCTTGTTTGGGACTCTCTGTGCTTGTATGTCTTTTTCCTTCACCAGGTTAGGGAAAATTTCAGTCATAATTTCTTCAAATAGGTTCTCAATCCCTTGTGCTCTCTCTTCTTCTGGTGCCCCTACTATGTAGACGTTGTTACACTTCATGTTGTCCCGAAGGTCCCTTAAATTATCCTCATTTTTTAAAATTCTTTTTTTCTTTTTGCTGCTCGGATTGGGTATTTTCTTCTACTTTGTCTTCCAAAATGCCGATTTGATCCTCTGCTTCATTCAACCTGTTTATTCCTTCTAGTGTATTCTTCATTTCAAATGATGCATTCACTTCTGACTGGTTCTTTTTCACGGTTCATATGCTCTTTATTATGTTTACCATCTCTTCGTTTAAGTTCTCATTGATTTCATTCATTCTTACCCTAAGTTCCTTGAGCATCCTTATAACAAATGTTTTGAACTCTGTATCTGGTAAATTGTATGCCTCCCTTTCATTTAGCTCTTTTTTTTTTTTTCTGGAGATTTCTCCTGTTCTTTCACTTGGGGAATATTTCCTTGTTTCCCTACTTTGGCTGCCTCTCTGTGTTTGTTTCTAGGTTTTAGGTATTAGGTAGATCTGCTCTGACTTCCAGTCTTGGCAGAATGGTCTTATGTGCCAGGTATCCTCTGGGAATGCCCAATACACATAAGGAAAACAGCACGAGGAAAAAAAAATACCTTCAGATACTGACACTTTTGGCAACTAGGTGCCTTACCATTAAAATCTATTAGTCGTTGAGCCCCACCCATCATGCAAAGCTTCCAATCATTTGTTTCTAGTGTAGTCGTCAAACTGCGGTGCTTTATCCATAATCAACATGAATGGACATTTGAGAAGGGCCTGCGTTATGAAAAACAGACGGAAACAAACATAGCTCAGAAGAAACAGAGACAATGTCAGAAGCAGAAGAAAAAAATTTAACCTATAATTCAGATCTTTAAGAAGATAACACCTGCCCTGGCTGGTGTCTCTCAGTGGATTGAGTGCTAGCCTGTGAACTGAAGGGCCGCTGGTTCCATTCCCAGTCAGGGCACATGCCTAGAATGTAGACCAGGTCCCCAGTAGGGGGCGCATGAGAGGCAACCACGCATTGATGTTTCTCCCCCCCTTCCCTTCTCTCCAAAAATAAATAAATAAAATGTTTAAAAAAGAAAGATAGCATCTTACCTCCATGAAACAAGAAGAGGATTTCTTTTGTGAAAAAAATCACAAAACATGAATAAACACTTGAATATTAAAAATAAGATTGCTGGAATAAAAATTCAATTAAAAGGTTGAGAAATGTGGGGAATGAAATATCATAGAAAGAGTTATAAGAAGCCAAGCACAGGGAAAATAGAAAAATCAAAAATGCATAGTTATCAGTTCAACATTCAACCAGCCTGAAGAAGAGAGTAAAGGAAATAGAGATAAGGGAATTATTAAATAATTCAATACAATTTCCCTGAAAAACCTAAGTTTCTAGATTAAGAACATCTATGAACTGCCCAACACAATGAATAAAAAAGGACCCACATTAAGATATAACACTATAAAATTTTAGAAACTAGAAACAGAATATCTTTAAATCTTCCAGCAATAAACCAGATCACATAGAAATAAATGAGACTAAAAATTACATTAGACTTCTTAATGAGAAGAGTGGAAGCTGGAAGACATTGAAACCTTATCTTCAATTTTCTGAAGGAAAATAATTTTCAATCTAGAATTCTACACCCAGTCAAACTGCCAATCAAGTAGGAAAGACATTTTCAAATGTTCAGGTCTCAAAAATCAACCTCTCACATATCTTTTCTCAGGATGCTACTAGAGAATGTGCTCTAGCAAAACAAGGAAATAAATGAATGAAGAAATGGGACCTAGGAAAGTCAGTAGGAAATACAGAGCAGAGGCAAAGGGAACACCCAGAATGACTGTAAAGAGACGGACTATGGTAACACCTGTGTTTGAGGCCTGTATTACAGACTGTACATATTGGTCCATAAAGACAGAGGTTTTAGGGAAAAAAGAAGATTATCTGATGGGCAGAATATGTCACTGAAAGGCTGTTGGAGGATGGGGAAAGAATTAGCAACAAATTCATGAAAAACTAGGCAAATCAAAAATGAGAAATTGTGAAGTCCAAGAAAAACAGTGAGCTGTAAAAAATGGAAATGAAATTATAGTTCACTACTTAGCTCAGCATTACCAACATTTGAATTGCCATAATAATGTAAACACTGAAAAACGGTTGCTCAAAAACAGTGATATAATGACGTTGGGAGGGCACAGTAAAGGGTCGCTACTGTGTTGGTATAAGAATTAAATCCTCCGCTACACAGTCATTAGGTAATGCCTAAAATCCATAAATTAAGAAATAGTAATGCAAGGATATTTCTCAGAAATATGGAGAGAAAAAAGGGGAAATAGCTAGAAGAGTTGAAGGAGGTTGCCTCTAAGAAAAGAAATTAGAGGCTGAGGAGGAGTGAGGCAGGAACTGCTGACTTGTTAGAAGCCCTTAGTACTATTTTAAAAAACTATTTAACCCTGGCTGGTGTAGCTCAGTGGACTGAGCGCAGGCCTGTGAACCAGACAATTGTGGTTCGATTCCCAGTCTGGGCACATGCCTGGGTTGCAGGCCGGTTCCCTGCAGGCCAGTTCCCAGCAAGGGATGCACGAAAGGCAACCACACACACATTGATGTTTCTCTCCCTCTCTCCTTCCCTTCCCCTCTAAAGATAAATAAATAAAATCTTTTAAAAACCCCAAAACCATTTAACTATTTTTATTACTTCAATTTTAAAAATTGAATATATGCTTATCATAAAACATACAAAAAATAATGAAAATAAAATTATTGATAATCCTACTTCTCAGAGTTATCAACTGTTAATTTTTCATTCTCTTTCTATGCT